CACATAGAGCCAGCATCCTGGATCCTGATCTCACAGCCCAGCCCTCGATGCCACCTGATGCCAAAGAGCAGGAGGAGGCAATATCAGAAGCAGCTGGGCTTTTCCTTCCCCACCAAGGGTACTCCCTTGGTGGAAGCAGCAGATGCTTTTCTAACCCAATGTGTTTTGAAAGCCACTGGCTTCTAGTGACATAAACAAGATACACTTCATCTTGGACTAGAGAGTTGGTTGAGAAGATGGAGTCATATTTTATTTTTCTCCAAGATCTGTAGGGAACATAGGACCATCTTCAAATCTGACATTTCTTGAAAACATGGCTGCCCAGTAGTGTCTGACAGGGGTAATCCCAAGCATCTACTGGCTTCCAAGGAAGTCAGCATCATCTTTGAGAACTAGGTGTTGCTTTGACTGGCACCAAAGACTGAGCTATAAGAAGGCTGTCAGGTCTTAGGAGCTGATTCCAGTGTCGCTGTCACTTACTGTGACTTGCTCAAGATGCTGCACTCAGTTGCCCTTGAAAGGGGATGAATTGGCTCTGGATAAAGTGTCAGGCGATGGCTTTCCAATCTCTCTACCTGAGGACACGGCTCAGACAAGCAGGTCAACTTGCTTGAAAACATAAAACAAGGCTGAACTTGAATCTCAGTAGCCTCCCAGGCCCTGGGAATAGCTCCCGCTGAGGCTTTAGACTTTGAAGCAACTGTGTCAAGAGTGGAGACACAGAATTAGTCTGAAATCCATTGAACTGTACCCTTGCTCACAGTGTTTTTTTAAGAGGTGGCTTGGTTCTTTGGGAACAGAAAAACATATCAACTGTGTTAATGCCTCAGTTTCCCCAGAGGCCTCTCATGAATAGAGATTCTAAAAAATAAACTGTGCTCCCATGGGCCACAATAGATGCAAAACCTGCTTTGATATGGCCATCTTCATGGAGCAGGATTTTGTGTGATCTTCCTGGGAAACCACAAGAGGGCACAAATGAGAACTGCAGGGAACGCATGATGCAGCTGAAAATGAATGAAGGCTGTCTAGCCAGCAAGAAGATTCTATATCCAAACAGAAATCATGACTTGGTAGAAGACACCCAGAAAATGAGGTCAGATACTCCAGTATTGCATCCTAGCTAGCACGTTTGCATAAGATCAAACAAATCACTCTGTCAACTTCTTCATGGCTCTGTGACCTTATTAGAAGAAAGGATGGTTTTCTTGTATAGAGTTATAGGAAGTTCAAAGGGAATCAAAGTAAGAAAGTGCCTGGATAAGCCTTTGTCTGTGGGTAGAAGAGATGTGGGTAAAAACCTCAGAATCTCAGAAATGTTGGGGGCCCAGAAACAAATCAAGAGTCCCCATTAGCAATCTCCAGGCAAGCAGAGCTGCACAGCGGGAGCCAGCCTGTGTTTCCCACCAGTAGTTATTCATTTCTGGGGTCTTTTGTGTGATTCTAAAAACTTCATTACTTTACTATGCCTAAGAAATTTCTAAGGATGGATAGAACTGACCAATAATATTCAGTATCTTCTAGCCTTGGGATATCTTCCCAAGGAAACTTTGATTTCTACTTTAGAACAGTTAGGAGCCCCTTATCCTGAACAGTGTGCCATCCACGTGTATCTTGTGTGAGGCTCAGGAAAGTAAAAGATCTTGGCCAATAACCCGGGCTCAGAATCTCACAAGCTAATCTGCTAGCCCACTGTGTTGGCATTCATCTTCAGCGTTCTGGCTAAGGTGTTGATGTTGACAGTTTAGATGCCACTCATTGTAGAGCTCAGTCTTAGTAATGCCATGGCTATACACTGTCACCAGTGAGCATCTTCCTGTCCAGCCACGCTGGCACTGGGCAGTTTCTAACTGCAGAGAGCCTCGGAGGATGGGTGCTTTGAACCCAGAATTCAATCCCTATTTGTATTCACGTACCTCCTCTGCACTAGACTGTAAAAGTATAGCACAGCCTGGTGAGCTAGCTAGTACATGAAATGTCAGAAAGAGCCCTTTCTTTCTATTGAGCCCAACACACTACCATGTGGCAGGCGCTTGGTTAGAGTGTTGAGATAGATCAGTGAACAAGAAGACCGCTGCCTTTCTCAAAAAGCTGCAACAGGAGTTACTCACCACGTAGCCAAGCCCAGGCCACTAACAAAACTGAGACTTTCTCATGGTGAGATTGACTGGCTGAAGGCAAGCTCTCGGTCAATCCACATAATGCTCTCCACATCACTAGATGGGGTGTGAATTTTACTAGGGTGCACACACATGCGCACACACACATATACACACATACACATATACACACACATACTCTTACATACATATACACATATAAAAACATACACAGACTCATGCACATGCACAAATATGCACATTCACACGCACATATAAAAACACACATACAGACTCATACATACACACATACATAAAAACACACATACACAGACTCACATACATACATACACACATATAAACACAAACATAGACTCACATACATACACACACTCACACACATACACACATATGTAAAAACATAACACATACACACACATATAAGAACACACAGACACACACACACACACACACACACACACACACACACACACACCTTATTCAATTCCAAGCCTTTCTTTGGGGTGTGCCTTGGGGAAAGAGACTAGAAAGGACAGGATATTTATATATTTACCATAATTCCGGGCCCCCAGATGCCATCAATTACAAAACACTGTCGGATTTAAGGCATTTAAAAATGTGAACAAATACAAATGCCTTCACTGTAGCATCATAATAAGCATTCTGGCCTCTGGTGGAGTATGCTAGTTAACCACTGGGTGTCTAGATCCTGACAGACTTGGCCCTGTGGTCTTGGGCAGATTGCTTAACCCTCTATAAAACTGAATTTCATCACCTCTAACATGACTATAACCACAGAGCTGGCTGGTAAATAGTATTGACCCAGGAAGTTTGATTTTTTTTCAACTTTCTATCCAGTGAAATAAAAATACCAAAACTGACCACTTTTGTATTTCCTTCAGCAGTCCATACCTCTCCTCAGCCTAATAACCAGATGTAAAAATCTAAACCTGTTATAAAAGGTCGAGCTGTCATGTTTACCTTGTATAGCTCTGAGGGGTTTGTGTTTCTACTATATGACAGGAACATATGTGCACGTGTGTGTGTGTGTGTGTGTGTGTGTGTGTGTCTGTGTGTGTGTGTGTGTGTGTGTGTTGTTGTTGTTGTTGTTGTTGTTGTTGTTGTTGTTGTAATTTAAGAAGAGCAGCTGGAGAAAGAAAGATGCCATGAGACAAGGTTCAAGCAGAGGGTTTTTTCTTTTTTTTAATTAGGGAAAGGGATCATTAAAATGGCAAAGGGGAGTGGGAGACTGGCCTCTGGAAACAGGAGCAGCAGGAGGGAGAGAGAGAGGAAGGGAGACAGGAAGGAGGAGAAGAGAGAAAGAGCAGAACAGAGACAGGGAAAGAAAGGAAAAGAGAGAGAAGGATGGAAGGTGGGCAGGGCCCTTTTAAAAGAGAACATAGTGAATGTGCACAGGTGGTATTCTTAGTGGTTGCAGCTGAGGGCATATCCTGTCAGAACCCCAAGGACAGGCCAGTACAGATGTCTGAATACTAACGTGTGATGATTAGTTTGTGAAGTAAGCCCAAACCCTTGTTGAAATATGGTCAGATTTTGGAGGGCACCCATTAAACCTTAATAAAGCATAATCCACACCATAGCATGCATGAATGTTACGTGCCAAATGGAGAAACTCAGTGTGTGTTTGGCTATCATTGCTGTCATTCACTCCTCTTCCAGCATTCAGCCCAATCATTAGAACATGGTCCAGGCTTGGAGAAATGTTTGGTCAGTGTGCACATGGCTTACTCTTTTCACCACAGACTGCCTCTTGCAGGTGACCAGATGGAGATGTGAGACTGGGGGAAGCTGTTAGGAGCTGCCCTTGGGTGCGTGTGTGGTGTCAGCTGTAGTGTGGGAGGTTAGACCCCTTGAGCTCCTAAAAACCCTGAGCAAGTAAATAGAAATAGTCAGACCACGTCATCCTGTAACATTTGTTATAGAAATTCTTGGAGGTGTTTTAGAAGGTGCTTTGTTGATGAGGCTGTTTGGGGTATCTCAGCAAATAAAATAGTCATGGCACTGGTTCAGAGGGAGACAGGGTGTGGAATACAGTACTTAGCAGAGCACCAGGCTAGTGGGAGACAGAAAACGTTTATCATTCAATATTACTCACCCCTTGCTTCTCCCCAACCTGCGGGCTACTTCAGGAAGACATTAGACATCAACCTGCCCCTCTGTTTCCTATACCTAATGACTGCAATTTGAAAGGAGGAGGCTGTGACTCTGGAGAGATAGATCAGTAGATAAGTGGGTAAGAGTAGTACTTGCTATACAAGCCCAAGGACCTGAGTTTGGATCCCTAGTCCCTAAGTAAAAGCTAGATGTGGCAGTACATTCTTATAACCCCAGCACTGGGTAGGGGACAGAAAAGGATGGGGGCTGACTTGGAGACAGGAGAATTGATAGGACTTAATGACTAGCCAGCCTCATTGAAAAATGGCAAATTCCAAGTTCAGTTTGAGAGCCTGTCTCAGGAGAATACAACAGAAAGTGATAGATCAGGTTATCAAGATACCTGACATTGTCCTCTGGGCTACACACATGTGTGCAAACCACACACAGAGAGAGGGGGTAGAGAGAAAGGAGAGAGAGAATACACATGCACACACATTTTTTTTTAAAGTAAGAGGTACAATAACAATAAAAAGGAAAGCTATGACTCATTTCTCCTCCTTTGACAGCTCAGGTTGAGACTGCAGATTGCATGGATGTCTCAGGGTAGGAGCAAAGCAGCAACAGTGGGTGCCAATGGCTGCCTTACCCTGATATTAGAGTCCATTGTGTGACTGAAATTAATTTGTGAGGCTTCTTCATCCAAGAGACTTCAGCAGCAAACATCTCCCATTCCACTAACCTTCCCATTTTCACCCTTTCCAGGTGACTTTATACAAGGACTCTGGCATGGAGGACTTTGGGTTCAGTGTGGCAGATGGCCTGCTGGAGAAAGGAGTATATGTCAAAAATATCCGCCCAGCTGGGCCAGGTGATCTTGGTGGCTTGAAACCCTATGACAGGCTCTTGCAGGTAAGCCCTCAGAGGGAGTCCTGAATCCTTGCCTCTGACCTACTAGCAGCAATGTCCTCCAAATTTTCCTTCATACCTGGACCCTTTGTTTTTGCCCTTCCATTCTTATCAAACTATGGCACTAGCAGCAGTCAACATCTGGATAGAGAATTCTAGTTCAGCTTCTTGAGTTTTCTGACACTGGGCTACCCTTCCCATTTGAATGTTCATTCCTCAAACATCAGCCTAGATAATGGCCCTCGAGCTCATTGACCAGCCAGTCTAACCAAACCACTCAGGTCCAGAGTCAATAGGAGACCCTGTCTCAAAGAAAGGTGGAGAGCAATCCAGAAAGACACCTGATGTCTGTTACTGACCTCCACACTCATGCTCACACACATGCACATGTACCTGCAAACAAATGCACATTCACATGAACATATGCCTACAACACACACATGCAAAGCAATACAGTATTATCATGAATGAACAGGGACACAGTGGGGAACCAGGTGCTCACACGGAGACTAGGGAGGTGTGGGTAAGCTACCTGATTTGGATCTATCCAGTCATTCATAACATTAGCACACCCCCGATGGGACATAGTTCATAAGATTGATCTGTTGCTTAGAAATGGTGTTCTGTCCAGGGCTAAAGATTTCTGGAAGGAGGTGGTTAGATGAAGTTACCGGTGGTGAGCATCTAGCCAGAAGGGGAAGAGAACCATGGAAGGAATTCTGACAGCACCCTGAAGCATGGAAGGACTAATGAAAAATGTAGAGGACCAAAGCAGAGTAAAGCAGAGTGCATCGTGAGAAACAAAGGGCCCTGTTTAACTGGGCATCTGGTACTAGAGCAGCCACAAAGTCTGGCTTAATGCGCTGTGACAGAGATTTGCGTCTTTGAAATGGGCATGGTTTAGAGACAAATTCTCCAAGTTGTCTCAATAACTGGGAGGCCCTTATGTGGAACACACATTTATAGAAGAGGCCTAGTGGCTCTTGTCCAACCCATGACCAATTTATGCTGCATATGATCATGGCTCTCAGAGTTCACTCCTCAGTTCCCCCTGCACCTTGGGAGGAAGCTGGGCCTGGGGGCAGTCCCTGTGTCTTCAGAGAGTGCAAATGTAATACACTTCTGTAATAGTTCGGTGTTGCTCAATAATGGATCCTGGGCAGGGAAAGCACAGTGAGCCAGCAGGGCAGTCCTCTGTCCCCGAGTCACACAGACAATAATGAAGAGTAAAGAAGAGAGAGCTGGTGGCAACTAGCAGTTTATACTTGGAGACTTGAAGTTCAAGGGCAGATATCTGAGTGGTCCATTGAAGGAACAGTGCAAGCAGGAAGCAGCCGGAGAAGAGGCAAAGATGCCCCCAAGTGTGTATCTCTACCCAGCAGCTTGAGACATGGAAGAGGTGTTCCTCTCCAGCTAGGCAGCAACCTTTGCCATCATTCATTACAACAGAGGAGAGCTAAGGGACAGGAGAGTGTCTACAGTAGGGAACTGTCAATAACCAGTTCCCAGAGTTTAAAGCTGGGTCCATTGAAGTGCCCAGCACTTGTCTTCAGAAAGTATGGGAGAGAATGGGAAGTCAGTACTGGGAACTGAATTGAATGCAGATGATTTTAACAAGTATTTTGTTGGGTGAGTGTTTATCTAGCATGTTTGACACTGGAGGTTTGGTAGCAAGATCCACAAAAAAAGAAAAAAAAAAGTGTTCAAAGAGATTTAAAGAGGAGTGCATAGAGCATGTCTAAGTTGAGTAGGAGATGGGTTTGTTCTTAATTGAGGGAACTAAGCATCATGGAAGCCAGACTGCCCCGAAGTACATCCTTGGGGAGTCCTTACCCACTGCCAGTCTAAAGTAAATCAACTCACCCCTCTAAGCTTTGGTTTCTTCAGCTGCAGACCAGGGTAGCATTCAGCACCAGGAGACTCTGGGAGGAGTGGTTTTAGTGTGGGGACAGGAGGGCAGTGTCTTGCTCTTCAGTTCCCAACAGACAGTTGCAAAAGATAAATAGTGAAGCAAACACCTTGTCACTGTGTAGTCAATACCCACGGTCTACCTTCAAGATTAAGCAATTTGCCTCTGGGTTTGGGATCAGTGGCTACAACAGTCATTGAAAGTGGCTCTTCTTGGCCTGGCAGGTTAACCACGTCCGGACGAGAGACTTTGACTGCTGCCTGGTTGTACCGCTCATAGCTGAATCTGGCAACAAGCTGGACCTGGTCATTAGCAGAAACCCACTGGCCTCCCAGAAGTCAATAGAACAGCAGGCTCTGCCAGGAGACTGGAGTGAACAGAACAGTGCTTTCTTCCAACAGTCCAGCCACGGTGGTAATCTAGAGACACGAGAACCCACTAACACATTATAGCAGCATTTTTATAAAGCAGGACAAAAGACAATATCTACATGGTGCTAAAAAATCCCTTTAAGGTTTCTGTGACAGCCGAAGCACAGAGAATCACGTGGCATTAACTGCAAGCACAGGGGTCTTTTAAATCTTCCTCATGGCTCATGTTCACTCCCTTCCCAACTTGAAGAGGTTTCTTTTACAATGACTGCTACAATAACTGGCAGGTCATTCTCTGCCAGGCCCAGTGGTAGAGTATAAAAAGGAAAGCAGCCCACCCCTTCCCACAACTTAAGATCAGAGGAAATTTTTTACAGTTCATCTTACTGTCACTTTTTACAAAGAGAAACATCCGTTTGACAATATTCTCTATGGTAATTTCCTTGACGAAGTAAGTTTCTTATGATAAAGTCATTAACCTAAGAACAGAAACAACATGGATTTACACAAAGCTGGCTCTGTAGGGGAGCTAGGATGGGTCAACTGCTAGGCCTGCCACAGTGGGAGGGGCACGGGTGTAGCACTAGGTTTTCTTAAACTGTTTCAGCAACAATGCACGTAGGAGATCATAATAGGTGGTGGTAAATGTTTTGCCCAAATATAGGAATGATTTTAACTAAGATGTATGCTATTCCCTATGCAACAGATGATCAAACAGGATATATCTTGTGACCTGTTTTTTTTTTTTTTCCCCTTTTAAGGACACATTTTTTTTTTAAATAGCTGAAAATCTCTGATAATTAGAATGTGTAGTAACACTGAGAATTAGTGATATGATCCTATTTTTAAAATCCAAGACTAAAGAATTTAAGAATGAATGAAGAGTTTAATGACATGAGATTTCACTTAATGGATAGGCAAATAGGACTCATCTAGCTCAGATGTTTGCAGATCGGCACACTGAGGGGCACACAGCACATGTAGGTAATGACACGGGCTACCTTTTGTTCTGAGCCATGCCACTAGCTGACCTTGTAAATACATTTCCACAAAACTCATTGCCAATCACCATCCCCCAAAGCAATAAAATAACTGTGACGGTTGCTTTAATGTTTGTTGGCAACTGTTTTCATTTGTTCAGATATTTTGAATAGCTATACTAATAACTGTTATTTGGTAAATATTTAAAAAATATATAGATCTGTATATTGATGGTAGAATGTCAAAACAATTATTTTCCAAACATGTTCATTTTGGTCACTAACACACCACCCGCACAGGCAAAGCATCCAAACACTGTGTCCTTTGTTTAAGGGAAATTATTCATCCTTCTCTGTGCAAGGAAGTAATATATGATTTCAAACACATTTCAGAACTGCCAGGGCAAGGAAGTATAGAACAGAATCCTGTTAAGAAAAAAGATAAATAAAAAGATCATGAGTCATTTAAATATATGTATTTTTGTTTGTAACAAACAAGTATTAAACTGTAAAGTATTTTTGTACAAATTTAATACTTTAATAGCATGGTATTTATCGTCTATGTATGGTTTTGGGGAATTCAAAATTGTTGCAAATATTTGTATGAAAAAAATCCTCTACCAAATGGAATAAACAGTGATTTTAAAAAGCCAAAATAAAAAAAAAAAATGACGTGCATGTTTGGTGCATTGACTGTGATTCAGTGTCCCAGCCTGAGTGTCCCCACGATGGATGAAAACCACAATGGATGAATGGAGCTGTGAAGTCAGATCTGGGTTTGGATGCCAACTCTAGTACTCATAAAGTGGTGTGCAATTTACCTGCTGGCAGCTGGCTTCCCCACCTGTGATACTGAAGGTCATGTCACCAAAGAGCCTACAGAATATGCTTTTAAATATGCAAGAAAGGGCCAAGAACACCTATACCCAGCGACATCTTCAAAACCAATTCCTCCTTCACTTTAAGGGAACCATGATAGTTCCTAATTCATGGGTGCAACACCAAGTGCATTCCTGGAGGCACAATTACCTTCGTTATTAAAATATAAGCTTTAGCTGTGATATCTTTTAAGGACTACATGAGTAATCTCATGACTCTGTCAATTCACATTCATTTTTACATATTTCATTCAGTGTGCACAGGGCCACATTATACACACCTGGCAGTCACATGATCCCAACTAAAGCTCCATTTTCTTTTGTAGAACCCAACCAACTGTGCATATTTTGACCGTGCTGTTTATAGCACATCGTAAGCTCTGTACAGCAACTGAGGTGAGGAAGTGTGGTTAGAGCCAACCCTGTCAAGTAAAACAAGTGAGAAATGATCTCATATGAGAGACTGAGATTAAGTAGAACCCAAACTAAAATGAATCAATAGAAAAATAGCTGTCATTTAAAAAAAATAAAAATAGAGTCCAAAAATCTTGGGTAGTAGTTTTCAAATACAGTGACCAGCTTGAGTGTCATACACTGATTATGACCATCCAGGGAGGACAGCATGTAAAGCATGTGCCACTTTGGCTACTGGTGGCATCTAGCCAGGTCACCCATGTTAGACAACCCTTCAGACTTTTTTTTTTTCTGAGACAGTGTTTCTCTGTATTGTTTTGGAGGCTGTCCTGGCACTCGCTCTGGAGACCAGGCTGGCCTTGAACTCACAGAGATCCGCCTGCCTTTGCCTCCCGAGTGCTGGGATTAAAGGCGTGAGCTACTAACACCCGGCTCCCTTCAGTCTTAATATGCTGTGAAGAAACACCAATGTTTCACATCCCAAATTTAGGTTCCTAGACATGCTGTCTTCCAAAGACAGCTGCAAGAATATGGAATTAGGTCAATTATTTGTATTTTGGCCCCACAGTACAATCATCATATAAAAGCTAGTCCCTGCCAGGTGTGGAGGAATAGGCTCGTAGGCCCAGAACTCTGGGTCACAGAGATCTCTGTGATCTACAGCGGGACTTCCAGGCCAGCCAGAAGCTATGTTGAAACCCAGTTACATATAATTTGTTTCATTGTGTCCTAAGGAAAACAGGCTAATTGAATATTGTCTTGATGACATTAAAGCTGTGAGACCTATACTCTTGAATACAGCTATAGCTGAAGATTGTTTCTATCTACTAGTTTGGTAGTTACCATTCCCTCCTCTGTTCCCACCAACCCCTGTGCTCCAGAAAATGTTCATCACCAGGAACCATCCTTTCCACATAACTTGATAGATAGCCAGGCACAGGCTTCACCAACCCCCACAGCCATGCCAATTATTTATTCCTAAACTGTTCCTAAATAATGAGCTGGGCAATCTGATAGAATATCAAACTCTCTTTCCCAAGACCCCTGAACGCTGACTAACCCTCATGTCAGCCAGAATACAGCCCTCCTTAATGGCCTTTCCTAGGATAAATGAGAATAAGAGCAAAAATCAATAAACTCTCTATGATAAAAGTGATAGAGAGCCATCTGTGGAACTTTATAAATATCATGACAGGAGCTGGAGAGATGGTTCAGCAGTGAAGAGCACATACTGCACTTGAAAAGGTTCCTAGCACCCAGGCCAGGCAGCTCACAACTATCGTAGGGGATCGTAGGAGGCCTCTGGCCTACACTCACACACATATTCCCACACATAGACACATGAATACACACATGCATGCGATTGAATATAATAAAAATAAATCTTTACAAATATCAACATTTCATAAACTACTAGCTGGACTGACCAGAGGGAGAAGAGGCTCTCTGGTTATTGAGATCAGGAGTGAAAGCCGAGCCCTGACACCAGCCTTACAGAAACAGTAGGCTATAGAGGACTGTCTTGATCACCGGTTAAGTGGCAGATGACTCAGACAAACTCAAGATTCGAACTCTTGAAACTGAACCTCCAAAACACAAACAGACCTGGATATGAAGCAGAAAGTCTGGAATAGAAATCCAGACCTACAGTTACAAGGGGGTGAAATCACGAGTTTTGAAACTTTCTACTAAGAAAAGCTCAAATGCCAATAGTTTTACTTATGAATCCCCCCAAACATTTCAAGAAAAATAAGCACCAATTCTTCACCAACTAGAAGAGTGTGGAATATTCCTCAACTTGTTCTACATGGCCAGTATACCCTGGTGTTAAAATCAGACAAAGGAAATCATGGACTCATGTCTCCTATGATTAAAGGTAACAAAATCCCTAGCAGGACACTGCTAACTGAACCAGCAGTACGTTTTCTCTTTTCTTGCATCCTGGAGATAGTCTCTTTGGCTTAACTTCCAAAAAACAAAATCAGTACTTTATACCATAGCCGTGCAACAAAGACTAAAAATTATATTGTCACCACAATAGGAACAGAAAAAAAAAAAAAAAAAAAAGGTAAAAACATACAATGAACTAGCAACAAAGAGAAATCCTGGCTTTAAAGAGCATGAGGAAAAAAAAAAAAAAAAAAAAGATTAATTCTTCCTCCAATGCTATTTGGATGCTGAATACTCTCCCTCACCCAAGGCCTGTGTGTTTAAGTCTTGGTTCTCCAGGGTGGTCCTACTGGGAAGTGCTATGGACCTTTAGGATGTCAGGCTTTGGGGGGTGTCTTTCAGTGACTAATTGTGGGGCTCTGTCCTACCTAGTTGCTCCCCTTGATTCCTGGTTCATTAGGAGAGCAGTTTGCACTTCGACACAGGTCCGCCATGATGGATTATAGTCACCGTCACTGGAGTTACAGAGACATCAGAACTGGGAGTCAAAATGAACTTTGTCTTCATAAAGTAATGGCTTCTTGGTTCATTACAGTGACAGCCAACCAATATGCCTTAATGTCAGGAACACAGCAAGGGTGCACATTCTTGCCATCTCTACAACAGTGTACTCAGAGTGTCTAATCAGGGTGCTAACACAAGATATCAACATAAAATGCATCCAGATTGGAAAGAAAGAATTAAAATTGCATCTGCTTGTAGATGATATGGTCTTATACAGAAAATCGAGAGGAATCCAACAACAATCTATTGAAATCAACCAGTTTGGCAAGACCAGTATATAAAAACCATTTGCTTCTGTAGAGTAACAAGGAACCAACCAAAATTTAAGACAAGGGCTGAGGAGACAACACAGTGAAATGCTTGTCATGCAAACATGACGCCCCCTGGGGTTTTATTCTAAAGCCCAGCTAGAATCAAGTGTTTGTCATCTCACTGCTGGAGAGTCTGAGACACTCCAATCCTGGGGCTCACTGGACAGCCAGAAAAAAACAGTGATCTTCAGCTAACAAATAAATCCTTTCTCAAAAACAAGGTGGATGCCCCCCAACCCCCCGAGGGATACCTGAGGCTGATGTCTGGCCTCCTCCTTGTGCACATGTGCAAGCACACCTGCACACAGACAAAAACATACAAAGAAACGATTTCAATTTAATAATATAAAAAAGAATATAGTTTTAAAAGTAAACTTAGCTAAATATAGAAATAGAAGATGTAAACTCTAAATCTACAAAGAGGGCACTGACATAAATGGAAGGCTGTCCTTGTAGATCCTAGGAGTCAGTTAAAATGAGGTCAATCTGCAGCCCTAGAAATGTTCTGAAGTCAAATCCCCTCCAGATTTCTGTCTAGCTTCTTCACAAAAACTGGAAGCTAAAATTCATATGGAAATGCAGAGAATTCAGGCCACACCAAGTCACAATGGCTAACCGCCTTTAATCCCAGTATTTTCAAGGCAGAAGCAGGAGGACCTCTCTGATTTGGAGGCCAGCCTAGTCTATATAGCAAGTTCCAAGCCAACCAGGGCTACTGAGTAAAGAAAACAACAACAAAACCCCAAGGGACCCTAACAACTAAAACAATCTTGAAAAAGAACAGCAAGGTAGAGGGCTTGTGTTTGGTTTCAAATCTTACAGTACTATAGACTGAAGTCATGAAGACAGCATATGGTACTGGCACACAAATTAACATACAGACCTGTGGGATATGACTGAGAAGCCATAAACTCTCACACAGGTGACTGAGTTTTGATATGGATACAGAGACAACTCAATGGGGGAAACAACAATCTCTTCAGGAAACAGAGTGCAGACAATGGATAAGAGTGAAACAGGACCCCTTCCTCACACCTTATGCAAAGGCTGACTGAAAGTCAATCTAACATCTACAGAGGAGTTCAAAACCTGCTATATCCTTAGAAGAAAAATGTAGAAATAAATCTTCATGGCTTCGCACAAGCCATGGTTTGTTGGCTGTAACATCAAAATAAAAAGATCACAAGCAGTAATAGCCTAAATGGACATCACTGGAATTAAACATATGCCCTTCAACATAAAACTTCACAGAATGAGAGAAAAAAAATGTGGATCATATATATGTATGTATATGTACATATGTATTTATACATATATATGACTTATATGTAGTATAAGGAACTCTAAGATTGTGATACTAACCTAATGTAAAAGTCAAAAGATAGGAATAGATTGTTCTCCAAAGATAAATAAAAGACCAGTGAATACATGAAAGCTGTTCCTTGTCTCTAGCCATAAGAAAAACACAAATCAAAATCAGAATGGAGTGAATACCTTGTACTCCTCCTATGATTGCAATACAGTTAAAAAAATAATGGTAGAGGGCTGGGGAGATGACTCAGAATAAGATGACTTGCTGCACAAGTCGGAGGACCTGAGTTCGAATCCCAGAACCCATGTAAAAAGCCAGATGTGGTCATGCATACCTGTAACCATAGTGCTAAGGAAACAGAACAGAAGAATGACCCGAAGGTTCAGACCACTAACCTAGTTCCTGGTGTACTGACAGACCCATGTAAAGGGATTAAGGCAGTGATGGAGCAGAACACTCAACACCCTCCTCTGTTCAAAGAGGTGCATGCACCCTCCCCCATGCACATACACAGGTACACACAGACCATACATATACACCATACACTCTCATGCACCCTCACACACACATTCACGCATACAATATTGAAGAAATTGGGATTCTCATAACTACTGGTGGCAATGTAAAATGCTAACTGCTCAAGAGTCTAAAGACAGATTTATATAGCCCAGCAATTTTACCTAGTGACATAACCCAAAGAAATGAAAGTATGTATCTACACACAAGAATGTTAACACAGTGTTCAGAGTGGTATTAAGTATAACAACCAGAGTAGAAACCATCCTGTCAATCCACAATGGATGGATAAATTCAATATGCAATATATCCATACCAACGAATATTATTTAGTAATGAGCGACTTGAATAACCAATATATTAACTGATAAAATGTGGGTGAAATCTGAATAGCATTGTTCAAGAAATAAGTTCAAAAGGACTTCATACTGTATGGCTTCACTTATAGGAACTGTGCATTATAGACAAATCTACAAAGACAAATCAATTAGCTAGAGTAAATGAGTAGATTATGTCTAGTGGGGTGCTGGCTTAGGGGGTTATGAGAATGCCCTAAAATTGATTATAGTGACAGTTTTACAATTCTTTCACTATACTAAAAGCTACTGAATTGTATTAGTTAAGTGGATAAATTGCATAGAATTCTTTCACAACACTATTAAAAACATTAAGTTAATGAGTACTTAACTTTTTATTTTACCATTGGTCTTAGTTCCTTGTGTTATTATAAGTAAAAACCACAGACTGGACAACTTAGTAAATTGAATAGTGAATTTATTGCTCAAAAGGCGTGTCTTGGAGACACTGCAGATTAGAACCCTCCATGGCACAGCCATAAGAGAATATTACAATCAGATGAGTCACACAATTGTTTTGTTTGCTCGATTCTCAGTACATATAAAGGTTATGTTTAGGGCTAGAGATGCAATTCAATACTAAAGTACTTGCTTAGAATGTATGAGTCCTGGGTTCAAAGCCCAGCCCAAAAAGAAAAGGAAAAGAAAGAAAAATGTCTTTGTACTATCCTGGTAGTCTAATAGGAAAACACCAGAATACATAAAAATAAAGTGATGTGCACATGTTAACTAAAATACTCTGTTGCCAGAAGTTTCTGTGGCCTGAGCTGTAGGAGAGTGGCAATGTATAAATAACATACTATCTGAGAACTGCAATAAAGCAAAGTACAAGACAAGGAGTGTCTATAGCCAGGAGTGCATATCTAATGAGGACTTGTCATCCCATGGCCAAAAGAATAAAAAATATAAAATTGAAAAAAAAAACAGAACTCAATACAGCTAACAGTGACTTTTATCAGGCATCTACTGCCACAGTACAACGCACATACGTGTGGGGAGACACATTCAAACCACACTACCACTTGGCAATAAATACTTAAAAAAAAAAAAAAAACCCAATCTGCTTTAAGAGAAAGGTCTCCTATAATAGGATATATTCAAGACTTATGCCCAACTAGGAAAAGGCATAGCCAAGGCAAGTCCCAAAAATGCTGAGTCCCAGAAGCAGAGCTGGAGTGAGTGAAGGCCTTATAAATGACCCCCGTGGTAAACACAGCACCCCTGAATGTTTCAACAGGCCACCCCACCTTTACTACTGCTTCAGTGGACTGGCAAAGGTGACCCATAGTGGTCACGGAGCATTATCACAAAACGTACCGCATCCCTAAAATGGGAGCTTTCTAAGCACACAGCATCTTTCCCCCTCAATCTCCATCCAGTGCTAACTATTCTCATGAGGACAGAGAATGAGATCGGCACTGTTTGCTGTGATCAGATGAATTTAAAATATGTTTTAAAATGCAGATTTAAAAATACAAGTATACAGGATAGGCTCCAAAGCTACACAGAGAAACCTTGTCTTGAAAAACAAAACAAACAAACAAACAAACAAACAAACATAAAAACAAGTACAAATGTCCAAAATATAACACCCCAAACTAAAATTCCAGTTTATAGTCATCTTCTCATAGCTTGGAACATTGAAGCTAAAATGTCCACTTTGTCTTGAAGAGAAAAATAATTATTCCTCCATGACAGAAGAGAGCATCTGATCCTATTACAGATGGTTGTGAGCCACCATGTGGTTGCTGGGAATTGAACTCAGGACCTCTAGAAGAACAGCCAGTGCTCTTAACCACTGAACCATCTCTCCAGCACCTGGGAAAAATAATTATTTTGAGCTATACAAAGTAAAATTCTTTCTGTTTGGAGGTTTTCATTGGTGGTGGTGCCTGTACAGGGTCTCACGATGTTGCCCAGGTTATCCTGGGACTCAAGATCCTCCTGTGTCAGCTTCCTGATTGCTGGGATCATTGGTGTGACCCACCACATCTGACTTAATCATTTCTTGATTGTCAGTGGGTTTGAAAAGTTGTCTCCGGGCTCGGTTATTCAACCTCAAATTCTGAAATATAGAAGACACTTGTGGAGATGGTTTTTCAACCTGTTTGAAAATAAAAAATAAAGTTAATTTTACAAAAATGTAGGTTGCCTACCATATGCACTTCCATCCCCCTGAAGAACAATGCATTTCTCACAATCCTTAAAGGGTTGAGCATCTCACCAATGGGTGGGCCATCTGCTCCTTGGAGGATGGTATCTGTGTCTGTCTCCTGCAGCATCCCCTGTACCTAGAGCTAAAGGCCTGACATGGAGAAGTAACTGTGCCCTGCCTAAATATAGGCATCTAACTTCTAAAAGCAAGGGATAGGGAATATGGAAACAAGGCATAGCATTAAAGAGAAGGTTCACCATGCAAACATTAAGAATTTCAAGACGAAAACGAGTCCCTAAGCACACATATGCCTGCCAGGTTGCACACTAATGAAGACAGCTCCTATGTGGTACATGGAAGCATGGCAGTGCCCGGGTCACATTTTTTGTGCTTCTAATGACACCCAAGCAGCAGCCACCAGGCCAGTGCGGCCCTCAGTTTTCAGCACCACAGGGAAAAGGAAAAGAAATACAACTTATCTCCACAATGCTATACCTGTACATTTTAGAGATTGGGTGTGGTTAATCAATCACTTGTGCCAACTTGCCTGAACTTCTGGAACCTGGATTTAGTTACACATTATTCTAGGCATTCCCACAAAGGCATAACAAAACAAATGTTAAAGCCGGTGAACGCTGATACATGGATTATCCTCTGTGAGTGGGTGGGCCTCATCCAGTCATCTGAAAGTGCAAACAGGAAAAAACCCCAAGGAAGACCTGTAGCTGTCAGCTTTCAGACTCATGTGGCAGGACCATCTACACTTGATTCTACAAATTTCCCACTTGCGGGGCTCCGCCACCACTTGAGCAGATTCCTTTCAATGACGTCTACTCGGACACACAGATCTACAGACGGACCATGTGGATGGCTGTTTCCTGGAGAACTTTGACTAACATAGGGGCTGGCCTTCCCTCAGCCTTTATGATTGACTTATCTAGCTTGCTTTTTATATTACAATGTGAATTTTGTAGAAACATATTTTCTGGAAGTAAGTGTCTCATCTGATAAGTTTAGCAGTATTCTCGCAGATATTTGTATCAAAAACCACAAATCTATTTTTTTTTTTTTCATTTTCTTTGAAAGTTCAAAGCAAGCTCGGGTCAACATTTCCCTTCAGGAATTTGAAAGCAAGGAGGGATTTAGCCATCAGTAGTGTCACCCAGACCATAATGACATTTTAGGGCCAGTGATGAACTGCAATAACATAGTAATAGTTCCCTAAGGTCAAAATGGAGCTAAAATTTTCCTGTTGTCTAGTGCAGTGCAGTAGCCGTGGACCCTTGGGGTTGGTGGCATAGACCTGCTGATGTGGTTAGCATATAACACTAGACAGTCACTATGCTTCTAGTTGATGCATTTATTATAATTTTTACCATTAGTTTAGAGAAGTGTTTCTCAACTCATGAGCCACAACCCCTTTGAGGGTCAACCAACTCTTTCATAGGGGTCGCCTAAGACCATCAGAAAGTACAGATATTTACATTATGATTCATAACAGTAGCAATTACAGTTATGAAGTAAGAACAGAAATAGTTTTATGGTTGTGGAGAGGGTCACATTAGGAGGGTTGAGAGCCATTGATTCAGAGTGTGACCCACTTGCATTTTTTTCACCCTGTAAAAGGGCATGTGAAGCAGCCCTTTTACAGTCTTACTGTATTTCCTATTGCACCAAGAGGCTGCCATAACCATAACTGTCTATGTTGGTTGTGAGCACACATGGACAGTATTTACACAACAGTGGAATGGCTGCCTAAAGAGGCATTTCCCAAAATGTACCCTTGTAGTTCAGCCTGGATGTCTTCATGTGTCGAATTTAAATGCAGGCATGAATTTATTTGAAGGAAGGACATATGGACAGCCCATGCCACTGGATTTCTCTTTCAAAAATGATACATTCATCTAGAGTTATAGAAACAGAGAAGTCTCTAATTTACCAGTCCTAATGTTCTGAATTCTGTTTCCTCATTTATAGGGATTCCTGTAGATACTGTATACTTTTGGCAAAGCCTGTGAGAAAGAACATCATCCCCTTCCATGAACGAACTTTGGGCTGATGTCATCATGCAAGGACGTGAACCAGCACACAACAGCCCCAACTTCACTCTTAGGTTCACAGATCTGCAATACTGGCCTTGGTTGATGCAGGAAGGCTCCAGGAGACTCAGGACTGGGGCTGAGCAACACTGCCACTTTCTCTTTGTACCACCAGATGGAATCATAACCCCCACCCACTGTTGGTGAGAAGAAATATAACTCAAGAAACTTTTTTTGAAGGCTCTTTCTTTACAATTGTCCCTTTACTGGTCTGGTCAAAAGCCTAGCTTCAGGGTCTTTGCAAGCTTACTTTGGGGTGGCAGGGAGGTGTCACACTAAGATGGAAATGCCATATCAAATGTCATATCTGCACTGGGGTGTAGAAGGAGGTTTAGAATCACCATGGATTCTTCTATTGCCATGGAAGAAAAAGGACAGTCCATTTCCCCACAAAACGTGTTGCTTACCCTTTTTACTAACTCTGATTAATGATATCTGGATCCATCCTATGCCGAGGCCAAACACATGTGTGTCATTCTTGACCCAACCCCCGCTGTACCTAATTCATTTTTAGGTACCATCAGCTCAGCCCTTAGCATCTCTCCTTCTTCCCTGTTATAAGCACCTGACTTTTAAACAAATCACTGTACCCAAGGGTTTCTTTATGGCAGGAACTTATAGTTTCTCACTAATCACCATCAATTACACCAAGGTCAAGGTCATCTCCTTGAATTTCAATTCACAAGCACTAAAAGTGTTCCTAGGGATCTCCATGCCAATCAGAATGGACAGTCTCTTTAGAAGGCTCTCTGTCCGTCCATCCTGACCACCCTGTGTCTGTAATCCTGCCTCTCAATTGCATACCGTGCTCTCCCAGTGGCCTCAGCTGCCATCGCCTCGTAGTTGAACTCTGTCACACAGACTCTTATTAGAGAAACTGTGATACGTATGCCCCACTTTTCATACACTGGACATGAGGATCACCCTTTAGAACCCCGGCATGTTCATCAGCACTTGCTCCCCCCCTAGCAAATCTGTAGCTGGTGCTTAAGTCAATAGGTAAGCTTCTCTTGAAACCATAGTTAGAAGTCAGTTAAAATCCCTCATCTCTATGTTGAGCAACTATTCCTGCCTGCCAGAGAAAGACACGTTATCTCCTCAAATGAGTTCTTCTTGTGTCTTTTTCATCCCAGTAAATGGCTTTGGTATTTCCCCAACTGTTTGAGCCAGAAAGCAGGGAATCATTTGAGTATTCCCTTTTGCCTTCTCCCATCTACTCACCCTTTTGACAGCTACCTCTTCAAAATATAAAAAAATCAAAAGGAAGAGATGAGAAAAAAAATTTGTTTACCTTAGTGAATTGGTGGACAAAAACAGTGGATTGACTGAAGCCAAAAGGTGACAGTGGGTAATTCCATGGTGCAGGGAGAACTAGTCTAGACTGAGAAGTCTCAAAAGCCCACTTAAGGCACAAGTAAGCCTTTACCTCAAGGAACGGAGTTGAGCACCCAAGGGAACAGAGTATATGAAGAGTACGGCAAGAAGACAATGGGAATAGGCAATCAGTTCATCCTCCAGTGAGAAATGGGTCTAAGCCTAGGCAGAGTAGGAAGAAGAAAAATCCCAGAGCAGGACTTTTCTCAAGAAAGCCACCTCCCTACAGTAGAGAGAGAGACATGGTGAGTATAATGTGACTATACAACTTCAAGCTGTCACACTAAGGGAGTTGAAATGGGAACCAGAGAAAGGCGTTAGGCTATGCTTCCAGAATGGCTATTTCTAGAACAAAGATTCATGAAGGAATTGGTTCCTGGATACTCTTCAGTGAGTCATCAAGTTACTTCCTAACTTGCCTGCAGTCCACACAGGCTTACCCACAGTTCCCAGTGCCTGCATCATGGCAGCCACTTAAACACTAAGGCAAAGGGGATGGCTGAAATTATGAGAGTACAGTATGTCCTCAAGGCCTCGGGAGGAGTCCCAAGTATGGGTGGGTGGGAGAAAAGCAGTGAGAAATGGAATGGAACTTCGAGGACACGTCTCACATCAGACTAGATTAAGGTCATGTGAACTGAGAGAAAGAGATAGTGAACCAGTAGCAACAGTAAAACTACTAATGGCCAAAGTAAGAGCCAAGGGCAAGACGTAAGGAAAGACTCCAGAAAAACCAACCAGTGCAAGGGAACTGGGGAGATAGTTTAGTGGCATCTTGTTCAGCCAATCACATCCACACACTGGAGCCACACCCTCAGGTCATTACCTCAAGTCTACTGGTGGAACAAGATGCCACTAAAGAGAGTGATTATGGCCTGCAAAGCTAGAGGTAACTGACAAGGAAGACAAAAGAAGGCAGGTGCAGAGTGGAAAGCTTCCTTGTGGAGCATGATGGGTCATCATCCATCAGCCTACCAATCAATGAAAGCTACCTAGAGTAGCAGTCTCGAGAAGGATGAGAAAAGAGTTAAGTGAACACATAAGGGCGACTTTGGAAGAGGTCAGACACCAGGTATCTTGGGATCCTGACGGTACAGTGTCACCCTAAAGGAAATAGACAGTCTTGTCTGGGCACATTGCAGATGGCAAGATTTAAAGAAAACATGAACATAAGGGAACATTACTCTTACCAAACAGAATTTACTGGGGCTTTCCTCATCAAACGGGAAGCCACTGCCAGTTCTCTTGGACCCTCTAGGCTGCGCTGACTCCTCGTCTGTATCTATGTCGCTAAAAGAAGTTGACAGCCATCCTTTATCAAGGGCAAATGTCTCCTTGGTGGCTGAAGATACTTCACCTCCGGGGCTGTTCGTAGTAGCTCTCTTGTCTGGGGTTCTGCAGAAGGGTGAGGCCAGAGGTTGTGTGCTGGGTCTTTCTGCAGCTCTAGGGCTTGAAGGCTGGGATAGAAAACCTGTGGGAGATGCACGGGCACTGGACAGGAGCTGCTTCTGCAAGAAGTGCTTCAGACGTGTCTTCCGGGGGAAACTGCGCTTCCGGATGGCATTCCTGAGCTCAGACTCTTCGGCAATGACATACACTCTAGAGCGGCCCCTGGTCACTGCGGTGTAGACATGCTGCCAGTGCTGGCGGCCTGCCTTCCCCACTACATAGGCGACTATGTTCTCCTCCGACCCCTGAGAGGTGAAAACAGTGGGAAGACTTAGCACAGCAACTCAGTGCAGTGGGCTCAGGCACAAGGCTGGGACGATGGCTCACTGGGCTACAGGAAGGAAGCTCAGTGACCTGTCACATACATGTCCTATGTTGGAAAGCAACTCTCAGAAACCAAAGCAAAATGACGAGATGGAAACCAGGACAGCACACACACACAAAAAAATTAAAATTAGTAACAGCAAAAGAAACTAAAAAGAAAACAATTCGAGGTACATTGTTATTGTGGTTAACTCTGACTGTCAACCTGATGAGGTCATGAGTCACCTAGAAGACGTTTCTCTGGACACTTCTGTGAGGGAGTTCCTAGATAGCATCCATTGAAGTGGGAAGACACACACTAAATGGGGTGTCAATGGGCTGGGGACCCAGAGTGAATAAAAAGGAGACCAGAGCTGAGTAGCCGGCATCTCTCTCTTCTCCCTGACTATGGATGCAAAGTGACCAACTGCCTCTATGCCTTCCCCACCATGAGGGCCCATACCCTCAAACTATAAGTCCACTCTTCCTTCAACCACGTTTTGCCAGACATTTTGTCATATGGATAAAACTTACTAATACAAGTAGGTATTCAAATAACTTTGTAAACATCCTTTCTCACCTGGAAAGTATGAATAGTCCTTGCCCAGGCATGTTTTATCTGACAGTTCGTCATGAGTTTGCTAAAGTCCACAGTCACTTCCAAGCCAGCTTCATTATTGATGGTCAAAAGTCTTTTTGTTTTGAAAGTTACATCAGTTACATCCTGGGACCAAGACAAAGAAAACTTTGCATACATTCAAGCATACACTTGATGAAGATATTCTGTCTCGTTATACATCAAATTAACTTCCAGGTGCTTGGGGCTGAAATTGTGGTTGTAGAGCATAGGAACAGTGAGGCTCTGGGTTCCATTCCCAGAAAGGTGGAGCAGCAACAATAACAACAACAAATGAGCTTGAAAAGGCTTAATCTTCCACATGTTAGCATTTCAAAGAACAGACATAGAAACATCTAGTCCTTGGACCTTCACACACTCTTTCCTCACACAGCCCTTTCAGAATATTTTAAGTATGGGAGGGGGGTCTACACAAGAACAAGCATGGGAAGTTACTAAAGTTTCCACATTGAAGCTAAAACTAAGGATGGCTGTCTCCTTGCCTTTTCTTTTGCTATTCAAGCTTCCAATGTACTACAAAGAAGTTTCCTTTCTACATTTCTCATTAAAAAATAAAAAAAGGTTAGAAGAAATCATGTTTTCCAGCTTAACTATTCCTAACTATTTCATCACATTCTGATATTAACCCAGACAAGACATTGAAAAAAAAATTACAAACCAATATCCATCCTGAAGGAGGATGTGTAAAAATCCCTAATGAAGAAACGCTGAACAAGAATGCCATCTCTGATATGACTGGAATGAAATCTAAGGCTTTGAACACAAAAAACTCAAGCAGGCAAACATTATCTCCTAAGACTTACCCTTGTTATGAAAAATATTTCCCCATTGCACAGCCGAATGTCACTTTCAAAATTCTTCTTGATTTTGATATCAGAAGGGGTGGCAGCATCAGAGGGGGCATCATCAGAAAGGACAAGGTCAAAGCCTTTCCTGATGGCTTCCTCGTCCTCGTCAGGGAGTAAATCTGAGAGGTATGCATTCCGGGTACAACAGATTTTATCACCAACACTAAAGACAAGTTTCTTCTTGTGGTCTCTGTATTAAGCAAGTGATCAGACATCATCAAAACCCATTAGTTCCCACTTGATTCTACTTAGATATGAACTCCACTCAGAGCCCATACGAAATGATGTGTATACGCCTTGTCATCACTCATTCTCCAAAGGTCAAGAAGCCAAGCTGTCATAACTGTCACCTGTTAAAATTTTACGCTCTTGTCACCTCTTGACATGGCCCAGTTGAACTCTCTTGATTAGAAATGTTGTTGTAACTTCTCTGGCCCATCCATTTTGTAAACCAACGCCTTATTCTTTTCATGCAAATTCACCCTCTCCCCACATTCTGCAATGTTAGGTATTAGAGAACTTTCTCACATTTCCGTTTTAAATAATTACAACACTGTTCCGTGAAAACAGTAGCAATGAATGGTGGCTGTGCTGTGCGAAAGCACAGTAGGTTTACTTTTCAATCTGCTCTTACTACACCCTTTAGGGGCTTCTGTACAAGCAGTTTTGTCTACACAAACGGAAAGATAAAACCACCTCACAAGAGCAAAGTGACTAGGACCACAATTACATCGATCCAACCAAGCACATTTTGAACCCTCTGTTGGGCTATCCAACACAGTTTCCTTATGACAGGAGTTCCTATGCTTTACACAACCCCAGTGATGAGCATGTGCTAGCAAATACAAGACATGCGAATTAACTTTTCTTACGTTCAAGCACGGTGACTCAGCTACATCCCTATTCCTTTGGTCATTCACGGGTGTTCTCTGCACATAGCCTGTTGCTCAGGCTTCTGGAAATATAACATAGTATTAGAAATTCTCCCTATCCTCCACGTTGATCGTGAAGAAGTTGGAAGCTTCCAACCTGGATACCACAGAGAAATGACAATTCCTTATTTTTTATCTTATTCTACTCACTCTCCAAGTCAAGTCCTAATCGATCTAACCTGAGAGACCATTACACTTCACTAACTGGAGGAAAGTGTATGACTTCTGAGTATGAGGCCCTACGTGACAAATATCCATGTAAATGCAAGACCAGCAAAGCAAAGCAGGACTGTCCCCTAGAGTGTCAGTGAGGTGGGTACTCACTTGATTAAATGGCCTGTGTAGTGCTTAGAGCAGCAATCATTGATGAGGTCACAATCTTGCCTGAAACACATGAAAGCCAGAGTGACTTCAGTAACACCTGCTACACACTGGCTTATGTTTATCAACAATCAGATACTGGGCTACTGGTTTGTTTTTAATGATTGCTGTTGTGAAACTGGGAATTCAACTGAGGGCTCTATACTTGCTAGGCAAGCGTGCTAGCACTCACACCTGTGATGCTACAGTAGATCCTATAAGATGTTTCCAGGACTTTCTCTAGGAAAAGGTACTTTGGTTTTTTTGTTTGTTTGTTTTATTGAGACAGAGTTTCTCTGTGTAGCCCTGGCTGTCCTGGAACTAGTTCTGTAGACCCAGATGGCCTTGAACTCACAGAGATCCACCTGCCTCAGCCTCCCGTGTGCTGAGATTAAAGGCGTGCACCACCACACCCACCTGGAAAAAAGTGTTCTATAACTGCTACCTTCACATAAAGTTTTGTTCCGTTCACATTTCCTGTGAGATTATAAATGCCCTGGATAAAAAACAGCCCTGTTCAGAAAGCCTTCTGACATAGCTAATGAAAAGACATTTCAAAGTAAGATTGAGAATTAACAATGGAAAATTACAAGTATCTCCCCTAAATACAATGTACATTACAAAAGTTAAGAAGTTTAAAAGTTGGATAAAGTATATTAATACAGTATAAATGCTTTTACCTTCTAAATGCAATAAATTGTGATGTTTTTGCACTTTCAAAGTCCTTTCCTTGAAGCAATGTTGTAACTGCAGAATATAAATCTGGCAAAGAGAAAAAGGTTAACACGGAAAAAATTGCCAAATTATAATGCTATTTCCATGGAAAAATTAGCTAGCAGTTCCTACTAATCAATCCACATAAAACGTCTCATCACATGAAATACAAGGTCACCATGGCAACATCTATGTCATCCTCAACATGGGCCACGCCAGTAGAAGGAAGGCTTATGCCCCTAGTTGTAGTCAGAGAAGTTTGAAATCTATAAGCTCAAATAGTACATCAAATAATCATAAAGTATTATCAGACTCAGCTGAGTCTTGGCTGGTATATGCCATTTTAGAACACTCAGATATTTCCACATTGGCTCCAAAGTGGCCACTGGCCTGACACTCCATTGCTCCACCTTCACCTCAACTTTCTCTTTCCTCTCCTGCCCAGCCCTCCCGTAATTCAGCCACTACAACTCTGTGGTGTTTTTGCCCTGCCAGCTGTTACGTAGTGCCGTCTCGAACTACACTCATCTATGAGTGTTAAAATAAGGCTCGTGGAATTATCTTCCAAAGTGGGCGGGTGGCTGGGCACCTCCTTCATAGCTCAGAGGACCGACTATGATGTCATTCACTTATAACTCCTTCACACTGTCCCAGTGACAAGCAGGTCTCCTCTGATCTCTCAGCAGTGGTACAAAAAAAGTTAACATATCTCACATGAAAGTAAAAAATCGGAGTGGTGGGCGAGGGATATAGTTTAGGGCAGTAGAGTGTTTGCCTAGCATGCACAAGGCACTGGGCATGGTGGCTGGCCCACACCTGATCCCCAAAAGGTTGGGGGAAGTATACAGAGAGAGAGAGAGAGAGAGAGAGAGAGAGAGAGAGAGAGAGCGAGAGAGAAAGCGTTGTGCTGGGTATAGTGGCACATGTGTATTATGCTAGTGCTGGGAGTGAGATGGGGATAAAGTGTTCAAAGTCAGCCTCAGCTATATAGCAAATTCAGTGGCAGCCTAGGCTACACAAGACCCTGCCTCAAGAAAAAAGGGGGGAGGGGATAGGCACATTGTAGGATTTTGTGTGTCATCTAGTAACATATGAATCATGAGGTACTGTGGTGCTCTGCGGTAATAAGGCAAAGTCAGCTGCTCGTATAGTCCTTCACTTCTTCAGTGAAGAAATGATACTCTCCAGAAAATAGCTGACCTCACATCACCCCAGACATCTTTGGCTTGCTACAGCAGAAACTTCCAAAGGTCCCCCATTCTGTGCCTCGTTTTCCTCTCTGTCTCTCAGATCCATATGCACTGTGCATTTTACTGATTTTAAAATATACATTTTAGCCTCTCTGAAATTCTAGCCCAGTTATGGATCCCATCTTGGGTCTCTGCACTTCATGACAATGTGTAGAATTTACTCAATAACATATTAATGAGAAAGTGCTATTTGTCTCTCCAATGAATATTTATTTACCCAGTTTTATGAAGGAAGAGGCTAATTTTCCAGCAAAAATTTTTAATTAAAATGGCCCATCAGCTGAGCTCTGCCAGCACTCCAAAATGGACAACTTGTGTTTCTTTTAAGAGAACACTGTCCTGAGCTGGGCGTGACAGCATAGGCCTGTGATCCCAGGACTAGGAAGGTGGGCACAGGAGGATTCAGAGTTCAAAGTCAGCCTGGACAACAGAAGACCCTGGCTCACTCAAACAAAAGTACATTCTCTTTAACATACAGAACAGTACCAAGATAAGCAACGCTTGAGATATACTCTACAGAGCCGCAAAGAAAACAAGCTATGAAGAGCCTGCATCTACTTTTCTTATCTGTAACAGTACCTATGTTAACTAAGCTGTTTGTGAATACACATTAGCTATCATAATTAATTAAAACCAGCTCACAAAATACACATCTTATTATCCAATTTGTATAACACTGAAATAAATGATGAGATTGGATATACACACAACAGAGGACAACTTGGATGCTTTTGAAGCTGCCTGTCAACTCGGTTTCCCTTGCCCTGGGAGGGGTGGGGGTTGTCAGTGTGAACTGTGCCGACTACAATAGGTTCCCAGAAGAATCATTTAAATCATTCCTTACCCCGCCCTGAGTAAACCCTTACACTACTCTTAAAGTTTGCTAAGTTGGTTTGTAATCTAAATCAAGACCAAAAACACCTCACTACTGTTCTCCATTGCTGTGATAAGACAACGAAAGCAACTTAGGCTTATAGGACATATTCCATCACTGGAGGAATTCAGAGCAGGAAGCCAAGCAGGATGTTGAAGCAGACATCATGGAGGAATCGTGCTTGCTAGCTCACTTGGCTCTTGCTTAGCTAGTTTTCTTATACAGCCCAGGGATTGTAAATCTTTATACACATAGGGATTGTGTTACCAGCAGGCAGTGGGCTGGGCCCTCCCACATCAATGAGTTATCAAGACAAACCCCCACAGACACACCCACAAGCCAATTGATCTGGCCAGTTCCTTGGCTGATAGTTCCGTGAGTCTCGGAGATTCTATCTAGGCTGTGTCAAGTTAACAAAACCAACCAAGACAACTATATTCAAATAAAATTGTTTGCCATAACCAATTTAATGATATTTATTAGCACGTATGTAGTGATTATTAATATGGATGCCCCTGTAGCTCCACAGGCTCCAAATCCTGACTGTTACTTCACACATATTGAAATGACTTGGATCATGTTTTTAAGGGAGAAGACTCTGTATCCCATGCTCCTTCTCAACCCCGAAAGGTTGACATTTTAATACCCAAAATTACATGTGGTGTTTATCTGTTTAACAGTAACTGCAGTTCCACAAATGTACTCAAAGGAAGAAAAAGGAAAATTTCATTAAATAAAACTTATTCTCTCCTGAAGAGACTTGACTCTTCAAGTATTTTTTTTTTAAGATTTATTTATTTATTATGTATACAGTGTTCTGTCTGCATATATCTATGCAGGCCAGAAGAGGGCACCACATCTCATTATAGATGGTTGTGAGCCACTATGTGGTTGCTGGGAATTGAACTCAGGACCTCTGGAAGAGCAGCCCGTGCTCTTAACCTCTGAGCCATCTCTCCAGCCCTACTCTTCAAGTATTTAATGAGAGTCATTATACTGTATCTAGAGAACTCCCCTCCCAAACTTCTAGAGCAGTAGTTCTCAATCTGTGGGTCACAACCCCCTTGGGGTCCGACCACACTTTCACAAGGGTCACCTAAGACCATCGGAGAACACAGATGTTTACATTACAATTCATAACAGTAGCAAAACTATAGTTATGAAGTAGCAATGAAAATAATTTTATGGGGGGGTCAGCACAGCGTGAGGAACTGTATTAAAGGGTGGGAGCACCAGGAAGGTTGAGAACCTCTGCCCTAGAGTCATCTTAAGTCGCTTTATTTTCAGTACTCCATTTTTCACGAGCAATACTCACCTTTAGTGTACAATAATATGTAGCTAGGCATTTAACAGCAATATTACAAATATGAAATACTTACATGCAAGCACACATCAACACTTACTAGATTGGTGTTCACCTTCAGGGAGTCTGACAAAAATAAATGTCTTATCTTGAATGGAGATGGGTAATGTGGGATTATCAGAGATATTTAGCACTGCATCAAATTCTGGAAACTGGCGCCTGGAGATTCTTAAATAAAGATAAATATATATATATGAGCATCACCACCCACAAATGTGCCTTTGTGTATGAAGAAACCTAGTGCCCTTACAAAGATTCATACCTGTTAATGGATAATAGGAAGAAAGGACCTTGCAGGATATATACAGCAGCCAATTAATTCATTTTATAATAGACTAGAAATAGTGTAAGATTTTAGTACTATATATAGCATACAACCAAGCAAATGTACAACATAGCAAAAATGGAATCCATAAAAGAGTAAAAATTAAAGATAAAATTTGACCCAGTGAACAAGACCATCTCTTGATATTCCGTGGTCCCATTACACTTACAGATTTTAATCTCTTCTTTAAAAAGTCACAAAACAGCAATAATCTGGATTCTCCTACATACTGAATATGGAAAAACCGAAACACCTGAGCCCAGAGAAGAACCCCAAAGGCTGATACAAAAAACATTGGGAAAAGAACTCTTCCACTGAGGAGTAGACGCCTCGGGGGCCAACAGGACTCCTCTCAAGAGTCAAATCCTACATTTACTTTTTCTGCTTTGGGCTTTTCCTCCCACAGAAATTATTAGAAATTTCTTTTTTAATTCCTGTCTGAATATAAGACTCACTTCTAAGTCTCTGTTGCCTTGGGCATAGTCTAGACTCTCAGCTTAACCAGTTTTAATTTCCACTCAGCTATCTCTATGTATTTATTACCTTTAGAATCTTCCTAGGATAAATGGATGCTCAAGCCCATATATAAAATGCCATGGTAGGGGGCTAGAGAGATGGCTCAGTGGTTCAAGGCACTGACTGCTCTTCTAGAGGACCGGGGTTCAATTCCCAGCACCCACATGGCAGCTAGCAACTGTCTGTAACTCCAAGATCTGACACCCTCACACATGCAGCAGACACGTGTGCAGGCAAAATACCAATGCACATAAAATAAAAATAAATAAATTATTGAAGAAAAAAGTGGCATTGTAGTTTCATATAACCTACATACAACTTCTTGCTTATTTTAAATCACCTCTAGATTACTTATGCTACTTAATGAAATGTAAAGGCCATGTAAAGATCATTACAGGGAGTGAAGAATCTGTACATGCTCAATGCACGAGCAATTTTTTTCAAATGTTTTAATCTCTGGTTAGTTGTAGGTATGTAGGTTTGTAGGTATGGAACTCACAGATACAAAGGACCAGATGAATGCAATTTTTTAAAGTCAAGAAATACAAGCATTCCTAAATGTTAACAATAGTTTATGCTGGGCCAGTAATGAAAGATGCTAACTTTGGTTTTCCAACTGTGGCAAGAGGCATATGGTAAAGGGACAGAACGGGTTTACTAAAAGGACACAATAAATGATTTGTACTAAACCATTCTGATTCAAACAAACACACAAACCCTTTATTCCTACTACAACAGATATAAAACTCGGGAACTTCATTATCTCATACCTTGTAGCATTGTCCACAATCAGCTGGGACTCTGCCCTGTGGTTTGTCTTTAGTTCAATGGCACACCCTCTCGACTTAAGAGTCTCAAAAACATCCTGCAGCATGTTGCCAGGTTCGATACTGGGTAACTGTCTAATATCACCTAAAGAGAGGTGGGGGCATGAAGATTTTATTCAACTAGGATTCTAAAATTTGGAAATCATTTTTATCCTGCCGATTGAGAGAGAGTATAATTGTAGACTTCCTGAAACTTAGAAAAGAAGCCTCTGAAATTATTTAAGCATATTGAATGCCCTGGGAGGAGTTAGGAGAAGGAATGGAGGGTGGATATGATCAAAATACAATGTATGAAATCCTCAATAAAAATGAATTCTCAATACAAATATTACATTCAAATAAATACTAAATAAATTTTTAACCAAATTAAGTTGTATACAGCATGAAAATGTGTGTAAAAATACAATTAGGTGACAAATTTTTAACTGATCTCCTTCATAACTGTGACCCAGGAAAACCACTAGAAAATTTTTTTTTTTTTTTTTGGTTTTTCAAGACAGGGTTTCTCTGTGGCTTTGGGGGCTGTCCTGGAACTAGCTCTTGTAGACCAGGCTGATCTCGAACTCACAAAGATCCGCCTGCCTCTGCCTCCTGAGTGCTGGGATTAAAGGCATGCGAAACCAATGCCCGGCTCAACCATAGGAATATTTACAGTTTTTAAAAAGAGTATGTTTAAAAATCACTGATTCATTCTAGCTCATTGTGATACAGAACCTGGGGAAACCATGGCTCAACTGCACAAAACTAGCCTCTACTAAACACAAAATAAATAAGCTGGATCGATGTAAAACAGACAAATTCTAGCTGCCAAGTCACAGTGCTGTAGACTACTGAAAATCTGAAAATCTTAGTCTGATGCAAAAAGCAAACTCTAGAGGAAAGAAAAATATATACTGGGTGACAACTGGGAGAATGCTAAAGACTTTAGCAGAACCATCTGCTTATTAAATGTCCCCAAATAACTAAAATAAATGGTAACTTATATACAATCCATTACAATTCAATCACAGAATGGACTGACCCCTAAAACTCTACAGGATCTGACTAAATCTCATCAGATTAGGAGGCTGGCAACCCTTAATTTGAAATATTAGCTTAGAATCATAAAATTACTGTAAAGTAGTCTATAATTCAGACTTTTTATTATTTCCGAATGATCTATATCCTGATTTAGTCTGACTCTGACATTTTTACTATTTTAATAGCCATTACTCAAACAATAAGCAGTAACTTACTGAACCTGTTCTCATTCATCCTAGCCGGCTGATACACTGGCCAGAAGACCCAGGCTGGCTGGTAAGGACAGTGGGCTTAACTAAGTATCTTTGAAATGGGCTGTGAGAAACACTTCCCACGTCCAACAAGCGGAAGCCTGAAGTGACATCCACAACACCGCACCAGCGATGCTGTGAGCTGAATGGGCAGACTCTCCCAGTATTTTAACTTACCAAGGATAACAAGCTTAGAAAGTTTGGTGTGTTCACACAGTATCTTTAACACTGATTTGAAAATCCCAACAGACACCAAACTCCCTTCATCCACAACCAGAACTCGAACTGTTGAGAATTTCCATGGCTCTTCCCCATTATGTTTCTTCCAAAAATAGAAGCTATAATTGACCTATAAGTATACATAAAAAAAAGTCAGGTTAGAAATTAACAAGAATGTGGTTTTAAGAATAAAGCTTACATGGTAGGTGGGAAGAGTATAACAACGTAAGGAAAAGGCAAAACAACAGGAAGAACATACCATACATAGGGATGAATGAACAAAAGAGATGAATTTTTTTTAAATCTCAAACTGTAAAAGACTCAGAAAGTTTAAAAAAAAATGATTTCCCAGTGAAACCTTGCATTTAACTGAATAAGTTTTAATCACAGTTTCCCTTGCAAAAAAAAAAAAAAAAAAAAAAAAAAAAAAAAAAAAATCCCACTTCTCCCATTGTTATAGATGGAGAAATTTCTTTATTGCCTTTCACTCTTAATAAACCTCTTGGCTTTCTGAAATATTCCAATCCTTTTTTCTCCTTACTAAGTTTCCTTTCAAGTACTGCAAACTTCTGACCACCCCACTGTGAAACCACAATAAAACCAGTCATGGAAGGGCTGAGTCAGTCCACAGCTTAAGAGACAATATCATGAAAGAGGAACTAGCCTGGCCGGATATACCCAACAGGGTGTTTAAGCATCCGGGCCCTGTGCTCATCAAACAGGAGCTGGGGGAGGCTCAGAGGACAGTGGGGAAGAGACTGGACTATATACCAGCTGAAATTAAGTGATAATGAATCTCAGCTTTGGGACCTTGAGTGACAATCCAAGCAGTGGAGGGAAACCCTTTGTTCCACTATAGCAGAGTCCAGAGGACCCAGGCAGCAAAGGCAGGGGCTCCTGGGAAGGCCTGACATGGTGGAAGTAGGTGATGTGGGGATGGGGGTAGGGGTGGAGTGGTAGAATGAGGTAGATGAATACTGTACTAACCAATAAAAATTTAAAGCCGGGCGTTGGTGGCGCATGCCTTTAATCCCAGCGCTCGGAAGGCAGCGGCAGGCAGATCTCTGTGAGTTTGAGACCAGCCTGGTCTACAAGAACTAGTTCCAGGACAGCCTCCAAAGCCACAAAGAAACCCTTTCTTTAAAAACCAAAAAAAAAAAAAAAAAAATTTAAAACCCCCCTCAGGAGAGGGGCTTACAAACTATTGAGTCTGGAAATGTAAATCAGTAGTAAAACGCTTGCCTGGCATGCACAAGACCCTGGATTTCATTTCCTGTGATAAAACAGAAAGAAAGAAAGAGAGAGAGAGAGAGAGAGAAAGAGAGAGAGAGAGAGAGAGAAAGAGAGAGAGAGAGAGAGAGAGAGAGGAAGAAAGAAAGAAAGAAAGAAAGAAAGAAAGAAAGAAAGAAAGAAAGAAAGAAAGAAAGAAAGAAAGAAAGAAAAACTCCCAAGCTGGTTACTTATGAATAAGAAGCAATGATGTCTCTAGGGAAATGTTTTATCTACACACAAAAACGTTAAAGTTTTACCTGATACAGCGTGTAAGCCAGAAGATGGGTTCTCTGCCACAATAAAGCAGCTGCTTTCCCGGTAGGCGCCGTGAGCAAAACTTGTGCAGCCTTGTCCACCGCTGCTGGACTCTGCTCAGAAAAGGCAAGCCATTCTTCTGAGGCATCCTGGTCTTGCTCAAAATCCTCACAAGCTTGTTGCACTTCTCTTTCTTCCAGCTGCTCCACGTGCTTAAAAAGATGGCTAACAATGGTGGTCTTCCCGCAGCCACCCTTCCCGCTGAGAACCGTCACAGCATTGGCACAAATCATTTCCAGTGCAGCCACCTGATCTGGATCCAGTGGGACATCATTTATTTCTGCATCCATTTCATGACCACCATTATTCCTAACGTGGTCACCTCTGTCCTGTGGGTCTGAAACACTCTCGCCCTGTTCTAATCCCACTTTGTCTGGTTCACTTCTTCCCACTGCCTCAGCACTTCCTGAATCTTTAGGCTCCCCTTTGCAAATTGACGCCAGGACATTTTTCACGTCTACTTGTAAATGCCATGGGGGTCTGTTCATCAGGTCACAGATGGTGGAGGCGATGCCTTGCTCAGCCTCATACAGTTCAGAAAGAAAGATGCAGTCCTTCTCATAGGTCACCACATCAAGGTCCTTCATAAACTCCAGAGACCCACATGCTTGCTGGAAAGACATGTACTCTGACACCGACGAAGTAAATTCTTTTACATCAACATATGTGTGCCCGTCTTCTCTACATGTCTGCCTCAGTGTAGAATATAAGATCAATGCATTCCTCTGCTGCTCAGTCATCAACTGAAGCAGGGAAGGACATTGCCTGAATGACATCCAGCTGGCCTCACAGGACAAAAGCTTCATCTCTCTGTAGGTTACCTTTAAGAAAACATGAGTTCAGGATGCTTCATACAAAGTATACATGTTGATGGATAGTATACCTATAGTTGTAACTATGTTATCTTAAAATTGGGAGAAAAGGTTAAGTGGTATATCATTCATGTTTTTTTTAACTGCCCTAAATTTAGGCAGTTATATAATTTTCAAATCACCGTTTTCATTGTCAAACAATGCTACACGCACACATACACACACACAGGAATCCCCTGATTTATTCTTCCCCAAGTCTCCTAAAGACAACATCACTAACAGTTTCTTCTTCCAGAATTGACTTCCGAATTGTAAGTATCACTAATCTTTTTCCTTGACTTTTTAAAAACCCTTTAAGACAACAATTATTAAATCTCGACTATGAAGAAAGGCTTTATAAGAGCTTGCGCCATCATCTTGACACGGGCTTCTTGTCTATGGAAAGAGTTGTAGCACACATTTAACTAATCGGTCCAATTAAGTCAGTGTTAATCATGTAATATGTAAGCATGAGTCCGGGAGAAGAGGATTCCTGTATTGATGTCACTTTTGTAGGGGCCTTTGCATGTATTGGGAAATGAAGGGCTGCTTGATTTTCCATGTGTCTACCAATAATTCTTCCCAGAACTACAAAGGAGGTACATCACCATGTCCTCTCTTGGCTCCATTATTTTCATGGAGACACCCTTCCCGAGGACTCTCTTTCTGGCATTCCCTCACAAGTCAAACACTGAAGACCCCACTTTCTCAGAATGTGACAACATTTGGAGACAGTGCCTTTCAAAGAGGTCATGAATGCTAAATAAGACCATAACATTAATGACATGACACTATTAGAATGGTGTAGATGGAGTTTCTATCCTGTCCTGTCCTACAGCCGTTCAGTCCCAAATTAACACACAGAGGCTTATATTAATTATAAACTGTTTGGCCAATGGCTCAGGCTTCTTATTAGCTATCTCTAAATTATTAACCCATAACTATTAATCTGTGTATTTCTACATGGCCTTATCTTACTGGAGAATGTCTGGCATCCTATCTTCCTGGTAGCTCCATGGAGTCTCCCTGGTGGCTTCTCTGCCTTTTCTCTTCCCAGAATTCTCCTAGTCTGGTAGCCCTGCCTATACTTCCTGCCTGGCTTCTGGACAATCAGCATTTATTAATCAACCAATAAGAGAAATATTCACAGCATACAGAAGGACATCCCCATTGCAATGGACCTTCAACTTCTAAGATTGGTGTCCTTTGATGATGGAAAGATTAGCACAGAGAAGTAAGAAAGTAAGCTATGCTTAAATTCCCCAGGTAGAATCTTCCTACCAAAAAGAGACTGGATACAATAAGACTCCTAGAGACTAATAGAGAGGGGAGGAGAGATCTGAACCCTGATGGGTGGCAGATCACATCACAGCTAATTCCTGTCTTACCTTCCTCTGCTGCCGCTAAGTCTAGGGCCTTTCTGGAGAAGACCATCAAGGAACATGTCTACTTTCATGCTGGGTTGGGAGGCAGTAATCACTTAATTCTCATACTGGGATTGTTAAACTTAATTCTGATACTGAGATTGTTAAACTTAATCAGTTGTGTTTTCACTTGGAAACTGTGTTATCGCTAACATATTTAATTCTAACACCATCCAGGCCTTCAAGTGCCACTTTCAGCTCTTCATCTCTGACAATAAGAACAAGTATGGGCTTAGTTACAAATGGTATTATTGTGCCAATTAACAAGCAGATAACAGCTTGATGTACCCTGAGAATATTTAAATCTTCAATAGTCACACTGGGAAATGAGAGACTGCACTGAAGAGCAAATGAACTCAACAAAACCCTAAGAGCTTTTGTCTTCAGTAAGACTGACACAAATGACAATCGAGTAACAGAAAAGCATGTCATATCATAATACATTGCATAATTAAATCAATAGTGATGATCTGAATGGCATACTTCCTGCTTCGTTGGTTTCTGTTTATCAATAGATGTCATAATTTATTGACTTTATAGTTGTGTCAAAATAATAAACCTAAGACAGTTATGTTGGCCATATGACACACAAGAAAAAAAAACCCAACACTAAATCCACATATATTATCAGCAGAAAGAAATTCAAACATGGTCAGATTTGAAGAACTCTGACTTTCACCAGATTACTAAATGCTGAACAAATGTCTTACTCACTCTTCGGAACCCAAGCTTCCATGGATGTGTACCCAAGGCCTCTTCTATCTTTTGCAACACCTCTTCAGAACTTGAGCTGATAAGCTTTCTAAAGTGTCGAGGAAGAAGAACTGGAAGGAATTCCATGACTTTTGGAAACTGCAAAGCTGTCATTACACTTACAAATGGGACTGCAGGAGATCAAGAAAGGACAAAGCAAAACATACCAGTGAGCCCAGAAAGACGGACAGGGAGAGTTTTGTCTTACCACAGCTGAAGACACCTAAATCAGAAAGATGACTCAACTTACCTGAAGCACTAAGAAAGCTAATAGAACTATTTCTACCAGGATGGTTTCTTTGTTATGAACACCAAACTTTCTTTTGTTTTGTTTGCAATATAGTCATAAAAAACCTCCAATGCATCCTATAATGGTAAATTTAAAACCAAGCACAAAAATAACATTTACACATTAACTTTTACAATTATTTCCCCAATTGTAACCATGATTCTTTTGTCCTCAAAGTCTTTTTGGTGTGATGCAAAATTCATTTGCTTTCACAAAGAAAGGAAATGCCTTCTGTCTATGGATGTCCAGATAGAAAACCGCATTTTAGAGCTATTTTAAGTCATTCAAAATTGAAATATTTCTAAAATAGATTATTCCAAGTCCTTCCTTTCTCTTCAGCCTTCTTAAAAAGAAGAACAATTGAATTTATCTTCATGACTCAGGGTACGCTCCAGGAACTCAAAAGACAAGAAACACAATTATGGTATCAAGGTGGAATCTCCCGGATCTTGTAGATCATAGAATTGAATAGAATGGCATATTGCATGGGAGGGACACCAAATACAACATAATGTTTGCATCAAACTGACTTCAAAGAGGACCCAGGCATGCCCAAACTTTTTACACAGCAACACACTGTCACCTAAGAAGTTCACAACTTCTTAGGTGACACAAAAAAAAAACCAATAACTGAGCCACAAATAAATAAATATCACATCTTTTTCTTTTTTTTCTTTCCTTTTTTTTTTTTTTTTTTTTTTAGTTTTTCAAGACAGGGTTTCTCCATGTAGCCTTGACTATCCTAGAACTCACTCTATAGATCAGCATGTCCTTGAACTCACAGAGGTCTCTCTGCCTCTGCCTCCCACCACCTGGCTAAATCTCACGTCTTAAGAAAGGTTACTTAAGGTCACCTTGGGCCATGTTCATAGCTTTCTCTGGCCACAAATGGCCTGTGGGCTGTGGGAAGATTTTGTGTCTTGATCTGAAATGCTTGGGAGAAATATCTGGAATTTTTTTTTTCATATTCTAGAATATTTACCTATAAGAAGGCTTGGGGATGGAATCCAAGCCTAAATATGCAACCCATTTATTTTTCACACAGACTGAAAAATAACACTGTTAAAGTATTCTTTAAATTTTGTGGATTCGACAGAGTTCATGCATATAAATGAGAAAACGTCACCTATAGTATCATGGCCGTGCTCAGAAAGTTTTATATTATGGAGCATTTCAGATTTTCTGATCCGAGAGGCTCAATTTGTCCCATGCAAGATATGGCAGAGATTAACAGTTGCAATACATCCAGCCATTCAAAGTCTGGATGACACAAAAATTCACCACCAAAAATCATACTTACAGGACTTCTCCACAGGCAATCTCATCTCATCCCATTCACTCTGTGTGAACTGCTTTTTACTTTCCTTTCCAGTTTCTCTGTCAAAGTTCCTTAATGTTTCTCGTAGATTTTCAAAGTTTAGATTTTCATAGCCTGACACTTTCTCTACCCATTTTAAAAATTCATTTCTGCGTTCATAATTACATTCTTTAAGAAACAGCAAAAGGATGGTTTTTCGATGAGGTGGTGACATATCGGACTGTAAGAAGTAGGACGGGAATCCTTGAGCTTGGTAGACCTTGGATCGCTCAGGCTTTACAACCCGAACCTTCACTCGCCACCAAGGACCTATGAGCGGGAAACGTCCTTGCACGGTGCATCTCTCTTTAGTATTTTCGTCAGGAATAGAAACTAAAGGAAGGGGGAAGATGAAGATAAAGATAACAGGAAATTTGCAAACATTTCCCCAATATTTACCTCTCTCTAATCCTCTCACACATACACGCAGGAAGCACCCCAAACAGACATCTACCGTTACCTCTAAAACCTCTGCCCGCCTGTTTCTCTGACTCCCTGTCTACAATAGGACAATGCTCCATCTATACATTCTGGAGGCAAGCACAGTGCAAGCCATGGATAAGCTATTCTAAATCCAGTCTACCTACTACCATCACCTCAGCCAATACTGGCCTTTATGTAGGTCTCTAAGAATTTACCATGGTGCCTCCCTTTGCATAAAGCTGTTCAGCTCTCTCAGCCGTGCCTCTTCTCCTGGCTGGCTCCTACATTTACTACAGAGCTCAGTTCAGCTCACTTCTTTAGCAAAGCCTTGTCTGAATCTCATGAATTCTCCAAGTCCAGTCTGGTATTCCTTCTAAGCACTACATGTGGGTAATTCTGTGATTAGACAATGACTGTCTAATTCATGAGCAGTGTTTCCACTGAGATGAAAACTTCATCATTTGCTCTCCCTGGTGTCCCAGGACCAAATGCTTGGCCAGGATAGCCAGTTGCGATTCCATCAACACGTAATCTTTTGTATTTAAATTAAAATTCAGTAATACTTAAAACTCAGCCAGCTGTGTTTCAGTTGCCAATGTCAGTTGCCACACATGGTCAGCAGCCATTATTGTACTAGACCATGCAAATATAAATGTGCATGTATGCACATGTATATGTGGGCATGTGTATATGTATGTGTATGAGTGCATGTATGTGTACGTGTAAATGGACATGTGTGTATGTATGTGGTATATATGTGCATGTGTGTATGTATATGTGTATGTGTAAATGTGTGTATTGCATAAGTGTATATAAATGTAGGTGCATATTTGTGTGTATGTTTGTGTATGTGCGGCCGTGTGTTTTCTCAAGGTTACTAAAGAACAAGTCAATCTTTGATTCAGGCCGGGCAGTGTAATAATTAAAAGATTCTGTTACTGGGTGGGAATATAGGCACAATATCTATTTCCTCGCCTGTAACACTATCTCCAACAACTGCTAACATTGAGATGATATATGTCAAAAGCAAACTTTTTAAGTTTTTTTCCCAGAGACAGGGTTTCTCTGTGTAACAACCCTAGATGTCCTGGGACTCAAGCACAGAGATCCACCAGCCTCGGACTCCCTCGAGAGCTGGGATTAAAGGCATGTGCCACCACCACCCATAGTCACTGCCATTATCACTATTACTACTCCATGTAAAGTACGGAGAAACTTAGCCATGCCACGCCACAGATCTGCTGCAATGGGTGCCCGGGCGCCGGGCAGTGAGAATCGAAAGTACATCTTACAGTAACTCTGCAAACCCGGCCCCGTTGGAGCTCGCTCACCTCGGATACGCCCAGGGAGGCTGCCCGCCCTGATGCCGCCACTGCAGAGCTCCTCGGCGTCCACAAACTCCGAATCCTGGTCCCCCTCATCTTCCTGTACACACTCCTCCTCTTTGTCGTCCTTATTCGGGTGCAGGGGGCCCAGAAGCTCACGCAGAAGACACTCTCCAGCCATGCTCTTTTATGCAAACTCAGCCCAAAACAACTCCAGAGAACTCCGCGCTGTGCCCAAGATTGCAGCCAGCCAATCAGCTCCACCAGAGAAAGTCCATCAGCTTCCGGGAATGCTCAAGAGGTAAGAGACACGGGGGCGTGGCCTGAGGGACGCTCCACCCCTGGTTTCCTGGAGAGGGGTAGTAGGAGATGAGGAACCAGCTAACTGGGCGGGTGTGCGTACTTAGAGGTGCCGCTGGGGACTAGCAACTGACACTTTAGAACTGCTCTTTTGAGAAGTGCAGGGCGTTTCCTGCGGAGAGGGAAACGCGATGAAAGGTCACGTCTCCTGGACGCAAGAACCCCGGGAAAGCAGCGCGTCTGCTACTCACCCTCCTAAAAATAGCATAGCAGAGGCCTCTAAAGACCTTGGGGCGCCACCCAGAACACAAGCGTTAATCCCCAGTCAAGAGAGCCCGGTGGGGCCTCTTCTCCTTATCCATAAAAGAGCCTCAGAGGAGTTGAATTTACATCACCTAAGGCACTTATTCAGGTAGCTATCTAGGTCCCTTTCCACAGCTTCCGCATTGGGAGTTTAGGCGGTGATGCAGCAGTCTTATTTGAATACATGATCTGGGTTGTCCTTTTGTTTTGTTTTTATATGTTCTGTTATTCAAGACAGGGTTTCTCTGTGTAACAGTCCTGACTGTCCTAGAACTCACTCTGTAGACCGGGCTGGCCTCGAAATCACAGAGATCTCCCTGCCTCTGCCTCCAGAGTGCTAAGATTAAAGGTGTGTGCCACCACGGCCCGGCTGGGTTGTCTATTTTCATACTCTGCCTGATTTGGAAACTGATGGCTTTAATGACTTTCAAAGCCCTTTCCACCTTTCCAGTTTATATACTGTTTTCCCCGGCTTTTTAATGCAGAGCTATTTCCTGTTCTCAGTAAAGCAAAAGGTGGAGACTTGCAGCCCAGAGAATATGCAGAATTGAGACATGATAAAAAGGAACAAAAGAGTGATTTCGAGACATACTGCGGCCATAGCCGTCCTACAATGCAGGGATAGTATTTAAAAGTCATGGTCTTCTAGCCGGGCGTTGGTGGAGCACGCCTTTAATCCCAGCATTCAGGAGGCAGAAACAGGCGGATCTCTGTGAGTTGGAGGCCAGCCTGGTCTACAGAGCGAGTGCCAGGAAAGGCTCCAAAGCTACACAGAGAAACCCTGTCTTGAAAAAAACAAAAAAAAAAAAAACCAAAAAAAAAAAAGTCATGGTCTTCTTTAAGAAGCACTATAAAATACTGTCTTACTGTACAAGCATTGTTTATTATGTAATTGCCCATTTGTTAATTGTAAAAACTGCAATGTTTACTAAATCCAAAATCTCTTATGCTGTTATCTAATGAAGGTGTTTGTCATACCCAAATGCCACGTGCATAGGGTCGACCATCTGCAGGTCAAACACACTTTTAAATGAAACTCCATTTGTAGTGAATATATATGTACAGGCATCTTTCTTTATTTTAGATTTCATTTTCATGTGTGTGAGTGTTTTGCTTGCATGTATTTTTGTGCATTATGTGCATGCCCAATGCAAAATTTCCCTGGAACTGGAGTTACAGACCGTGGTTAGCTGCCATGTGGATACTGGAAATCCAACCTGGGTCTTCTGGAAAAGCAGCCGGTGCTCTTAAATGCTGAGCCATCTCTCCAGCCCTCAGACATTTTCCTTGCCATTCTCTAACCAATGTATAAAATTATTTATATGTCATTTACCTTATATTTAATATAAATCATTATAAAGGTATTTTAATTGGGGAATGCAGTTTTATAGAGAGACTTGTGTGTGCACTAGTATCTGAGGGGGTTAAGAATCAATCCCCCATAAAAGCAGAGGGACTCTGCTACAAGGAATCCAGAGCCAGGGGAGAAAAACTAAACTTGATCTTGCTCTTGGGTATAAATTGGTTAATGTTCCCAGAAGGAAAACCTTGTTTCCAGGGACAGAAGTCCAGTGTCTCTAAGGTTCTGCTGCACAGTTGGAATTCCTTCCTGTTAGGTCTCAAACCCAGTTCAAAGGGCTAAAACTAAGGTGCCTATTTAACATATCAAAGCACACCTGGCTGCCAGGTTCTCCCAGCATCCCTCAGTCCCTACCTACCTGGTATGGCTGGCACACCCCACCTCCTACCCTGAACCTCTCCAGCCCAGGGGCTGGGTTGCCCTTGCTTATATGACCCAGCCATCTTGGTTACTTGGCCATTTACTCTCTTTGCCATTCGTCCTGGCCACCTTATTTGGCAGCTTCTCTCTTGCCCTCCTTCCTGCCTCTCTTCTCATGGTCTGGTTTAGTCAGTTGTCCATGATCAGCCTGGACTATTCCCTCTGCCTGTTTCCCCCTGAAATCTACAATAAAAATATTATCCATACTTTTGGAGTAGTTATGTTCTCCTCTTATTTCATTTTTTTCATTCACTTACTTCACACATGGTTACTGTTTCCACCCTCATGTAGAATCGGGCTTTAGCAGAAGTCCCCAAGTTAACGTTTTAGCCTGTGTTTCACCTGAACCCTCAGCAGCCTTTGGCATTGATGAGTATCCTATCTTGTAATGTTTGTCTGTTGCTTGCCTTCTCAAGTCCCCCCACCCGCCCCCCTCCCCGTGCCCATCTGGCCATTTATATTCTCATCCATCTTAGCCTCCTCTGCTGGCCTCCTTTATTGGTGTTCCCTCACATTTTCACTCTGAAATGCACCCCTCAAATATCCATGACCTACATGCTAATGACTTCTAATCTGTTAATGCCTCAGGGAGAGATGGGGTTTGGAGAGCACCTCCCCATCTGTGCCTAGATTTGGCTGGATTCATCTTGTGCAGGCAAACACTAGATGCTGTGAGTTCATGGGTTCTGAAACCTTGTCAATATTCTGTAGCAGTTTCCTCCAAGACTATAATCTCCCACCTTGCAGTGAATCTCCTTAAGACATCAGGTAAACAATTCAAAACAGCTTCAGGAAGTCCCTGAAACTGAACACATTCAGTAGGCCCTTTCTTCACAAGAGTGAACACTCCAAGTAGCCTAGAGTGACTCTCTGACAAAGCATGCTGCAAAGAAGATTCTGGGACCAGACTGGCTGCTTGGAAGAGATTTACACCAACTGAGTCACCTGGAAAAGACACTCTAACTCCTCATCTATACTCCCGTAAGTAACAACTCCCTCCTGCCCCCCCCAAAAAAAACCTTCATTGGTTCACTAAGTTGGACTTTAGTGGTATCCATATTTTGGTCTGTCATGGGCTCCCTATCTGTAAGGAGACTGGTATGTTGTCTCTCCCCAGGAAAAGTCTTGTTACATGGCAATCAAGTCCAGAATTTTGCATTTCACTGCACCCCTCCTCATCTGACTGTAGTAGCATCTTGCCTTGCCAGTAAATTTGTGTTAGTGGCCACACCCCTTTGATGTCAACCTGACCAGAAGGTAGAGAAGCACAGGGAGGGTCTCTCTCTCTCTTGGGTCTCCAAGAGAGCTTCCGAAGGCCAGAGACTGCAACTTCTGGAGCAGGAACACTGCAGCGGTTGTTTACTATTATCTGTGTAAGTTGTTCCCCAACAAAACACCCATTTATCATTTGTCTTGGGTCTAGTGAACTCATTAATACCCCGCCTTCATCTGGCTCTTACATTCTTTCTACCTTCTCTTCAGAGATGTTCCCCACTGTAGGAGAAAATGCCCTAATGTAGGAAAAATACTTGACACACTGAGCTTATAGATAAGAACGATGGCACACCCATGCTCTGGAACTCAGAACAGTGAATTCTGAAGTAATGTGAGTAGCCACTAACTGGCCTGTGGATAAGTCTACATTCTCTCGGGTTCCTTTAATGTGCTTTTTCCGAATGGAGACCCTGGTGGTATGAGCACTCATCATCTAATCCGTGGTGAGATGCTAACCAATCATAGTTGACTGGTTTCCATTATCTAAGTGTTTACTTACAAGAAATAAAGCAGATGCTGTTCCCCGGAGTGGTTTATCTCCATGAGCTATACTGACCTTTGCACCGGCATTGCTGTGCTGGCTGGCTTAGCACCCTAAGCCTTATGATAGCAGAAGGGAAGGTTGAGAAAGAAAAAATTCTGAAGGTAGAAACATAATTATATTTCCTGATGTAATAACTGATTCAAGCAAGGCTTACAAAGGAATGCAATGCCATTACTTGAAAAGTCTTTAAAGAATTCATAATCTTGGGCTGGAGAGGTGACTCAGAGGTTAAGAGCACTGGCTGCTCTTTCAGAGGTCCTGAGTTTAATTCCCAACAACCACATGGTAGCTTACAACCATCTGTAGTGAGATCTGGTGCCCTCTTATGGCTTGCAAGGATATGTGCAGGCAGAATACTGTATTCATAATAAATAAATATTAAAAAGGAAAAAAAGAATCAATAATCTTACACAGTAAATATTGCCAGTCATAAAATGTGTACCTGTATCATGTACAAACTTGTAACCTGTTACTGGTACCTTTAGTCGTCAAATAGACGTGTGTGTCTCCTGCCATGGTGAATTATGATGAGCATAAAATCAGCTGTGAAGTGTTGCTACCCAAAATATTTTGCCTAGTTTTAGTCAATGTATAATGCAAAGCACATGTATACTTTAAAACTTTCTATTGACCACCTTAAAAAAAACCAAATACATGTTGTTTATTTAAATTACATATCTGAAGTATTATTTCAAAATAGTAATCAACTATGGTGGTGTGAATGAGAATGGCCCCCATAGGCACTATGTTTGAATGCTTGGTCCCCAGTTGATGGAACTGTTTGGGAAGGATTAGGAGGTGTGACTTTGTTGGAGGGAGGTTTCAAAAGCCAATTCCATTCCCAGTTAGATCTCTCCACCTTGTACTTGAGAACTGAGATGTAAGCTTTCATGTACTGCTTCAGTGCCATGCCTGCCTGCTACCATGTTCCCCACCACGATGGTCTTGAACTCTAACCCTCTGGAGTCAGATAAATGCTTTCTTTTATAAGTTGCCCTGGTCACAGAGTTTTGTCATGATGGCAGAAAAGTAGCTATGACTTCAACATAAAAAGTGGCAATGTCCTTTCCTTTGTGCTGGGACTTTGAAATCATTGTGTGTAATACCGTGACACACCTCAATTTGAGCCACTTACATTTCATGTGTTAGTAAGTACTGTGTAGGGCAGCACTTTATAAACATAATTTCCAGTTTGCCTCAGATCCAATGAGCAGGGATACTAACCAACAGATACCTGGAGGGCCCAGGAGATCTAGAACAGAACTCTGAAAATGTGCTTTGCTGAGGTCCAGAGAATGTGTTAGGTATGACAGGCCACGTGCGGACAGGCCACGTGGGGACAGGCCACGTGTGGACAGGCCACGTGCGGACAGGCCACGTACAGACTGCATTCACTAAATCCCCTTCCCATCTGCTCCCTTCTTCCTTCATGTTCTTCTTCCACTTCATTTTTGAATAACCCCTTAAAATATAAAAAAAACTATTCTTCACTTAGAGGCTGTGGAAAGTCAGGTTATGTTTTGCTAACACCTAATATAGAAAATGGAATGTTCTCTGTAAAAAAAATTAATTGACTCAGATTTTTTCAACATCACACATATGCAGGTAGTGAGAGAACAAGAGTGATTCCCAGGTCACCCATGGGCAGTCCATGAAGATGAGACTCAAGACAAGTGGGCTGGATCTAGAGTTTGCTGGTTGGAGACTGTGAGATCAGTAAGTAGCTACTAAATGATTTTTTGTTTTTAAGCTTAGCCATTCTCTTCTGAAAACATGGTGACTAATCTCCTATAAGCCATGATCTGATGCCATTGTCCCCTTAAGATCTATCCTGGAAAATGCTTATTAAACAAGCCAATTCATCTGAATTGGGAACCCAAATCTCTAAATGTTTAATACATACCAATTTGGGAATAATAATAAACCAAATGCTTGAGTGTGTGTGTGTGTGTGTGTGTGTGTGTGTGTGTGTGTGTGTGTGTTAGATAGTGTCTTTTGTGGTAATACTTTAAATATGTTTGCTGCAGTATATCTAAATGGCATCAATTTAGATAACACTGTCAAGGTATCATTAGTAAAACTTAAACAATTTATTGTGTGAGTGGGGAGGGAATAAAGTTTAGTGACCTGTTTAATGAATGTGATAAGGTAAGGAGGCAATTAAGATGTAGCCATGATAATGGCAACTTCATGGCTGTGCTGAAAGCGATTCAAATTAATTTATCTTGACAAATGTTTAAAATAGTGTTCCATCTGTTTTGTTTGTGAAACTGGGGTCCAAAGGGGAACAGTAGGGTTCAGGCAGGAAATGAGTCAATAATAACATCACTATACAGATTGACAGTTATGCACAAGGTAGAAATAAAAATAAAACACGTTGTATTTCAGTCAACAAATATGTACTCATGTGTTGTAGTTTTACTGCCTACTGATCCCAGGCTCCCCACTATTTCTAGGCCCCTGGGGAACTGTACTTCATCTGCATTCTTATGGCCAGTTGACTTCCTTTGGCCAATGGAAGAAGTCCTTTCAGAATAGAAGCATTAAACTCTGGAAGCTCCACTTTCCACTCCTGGTTTTCCTTTGCCCGGTGATTTTCAACACTATGTGGTGAGATACTGTGACATCGTATGATAGGCGGTGCAAGAGGAACCTTGAAATATTTATCTACTCAGATAGTGGAGCTCTTTCTCATTTCATCTGAACTTAACCTGTCTTCCTGATATAATAGAAGGTCTTATAGTAAGGATGTATTTTTGGTGAATACAGTGAGAGATTAAAAAAAAAAAAATGAGCTCTTGCCAAAAGTCTCCTGTGTCTTAATTAAGCTATGTATACTGGCAATTAATAGAACAAAGGTGTGGAAAATTGTGCTGGTGACCTTACCTGAGGAGCTGTGAATGCCAGACTATGGAGACACTACCAAAAGGAACATAAGGAGATGCCCCCACCCCCAAAGAGTTGGTATCTGTGTCTCTAATTCATTCCTTAGGATCAAGACTTGCCTTTAACGAGAGCAAGAAGGGGAAAAGGGACACAAAGTAAAAGGCAACTAATTCATTAATACTAATGTTAAGCCTTTGTCTCTAAATATTAAACCAAAGCAATAGCCTCATTCCCTTCAGTTACAATCCCACTTAGTTTACTTTAATCGCATAAGTGTTTCTTCATGCTAAAATGTTTGAATGGCTTGGTCCATATTATTACATTTCTGTTTCATTGAAAGTTTATAACATATAGGAAAATGTGGTGGTTGCAAATCACTTCATCTGTTGACATCCTGTCTAGAATTCCCTTTATTCCCAAATATGCTATTATTGAACTAGCAGTAAAGCATAAACTATTGGCCCAGCTTCCATATAGATATGGTGCTGGGCATCGATCTTTAAGTAGTCATGTAGGATTTTGTATGAGTTGGATGAAAATTATTTCTCTCGTCTTGTGTAACTCATAAAAAGCAGCAGACTTTGAAAAGATGGAGCCTATGGCCCCAACATGAGCCCATGCTGACAAGTGCAATACTCCACAACCCATGCCTGCACACACCACAGACACCCTCATTAACAAGTGTCCATCGTATTTATGAGGAATCTACTAATGAGTAAGTAATGAGGATAGAGTTGGAATCAGCAGAGCCAGGAATCAAATCCAGGAGGCTGGATACTGAGCCCTGGCTGTCTGCTCCATGTTTACTTGCTTGCACAAGCCCCACAGGCACACTTGGAGTTGCAAGGAGGTACATTCTGCAGTACAATATAAATTATTCCTAATACGTTGCTTCATTGTCGCTCGTTTGAGATTTATCGAGCATACACATTTCTCCGGAACCTTTAGGTAGATTTAAATCAATTATGAAGACACCACAATATCATGTTATCAATAAGTGATAACTCCCATTGTGTACCGTTACTTATTTGCTTGCAATCATTGGATCAAGTTGTAAGTAGTCTCCACTTGGGATTTGCAGATCAATACATGTAGAAGACATGGTTATTCTTCTCCCCTTTTCCAGTTGGGCTCTGTTTTAGACAGATTATTGTTGACTGACTTCTTTCCTGATATACCTGTCCATGACTTCCTATTTCAAGCAAGAACAAGTCCTTATGCTTCTCCACTGCACTTCAGAAAGCTTGCCCTGCCATCTCTTCAGGGGTAACACTAAGTGGGCTGCTGTGTTAGGGATGTTACTGCAATCTAGGAATTCCCCTAAAAAGATGACTAATCCTTGAGTTACATCTGCTCTTCTTCCACAGAAATTTCCCTTTCAAATGACCTTTTGCCATTGTATTAGTCGGGAGTCTCTAGAGTAGTGGTTCTCAACCTTCCTAATGCTATCTTTAACGCAGTTCCTCATGGTGTGACTCAGAGAACTTCTCCAAGCATCTGGTCAACACACTCATGGAACAGAGGGTCAGAGAGCACGCCAGAGGGTAGAAACAGAGGGCTGAGGCCCACACAAGTCCATATTTGGCAACCCCATTCAGATGGCACTACCGGTCTCAGATGGTCTCATATCTCATTGGAGGACTTGGGAGACTTGAGGGAAATACTTCCAAGAGTTATGTGCTAAAAATTAGTAGGCATAGAGCTTTTGGGGTTTCTCTGCGGGAAGAAGGAGCAAAGCTTCACAAACACAAAATATTAAAAGCATTGAATTGGAACATAGGAGGGCAAAGGGAAAGAATATAGTATGAGAGGTCACAAAGCATAAACCTGAGAGCTGAAATTTTGGGGGACATTTCACCTGATTTCCTACTACTCTACACATGATGATGATAGTAGCACATGGGGCTATTGGAATGGTTAAATGAGGCACGCGTCATTTAGCTGGCATGTAGTGAATGCTCCAAATCATAATGACAACAGGAATTATTGTATTGCCATACGTACTAATGAGCATGCTGACAATGGGGTGACATGGAGAGGCATTCAGGAAACATCTGCATTATTACCTGCAAGAGATTAGCAGAGTCTGTGCAGAAACTGTAAACTGGAAGCACATGAATAGAGACCCTGGGAGTGATGTATGCTCAGTGGTGGGGATGAGGCTGGAAGCAAGGCATTCTTGTTTCCCATTCCACACTGGTCATCATTTTTTAAGTGTATTTACTCGTCATGCTCAAAATCAGAAGATTTTACACTTATCATATGGGCTTCTCTTTCATTTCGAATGCCTGGTGATACGGAGCTAGTACTCTCTCATGGCAAGAGGCTGCTTGATCTGAGTACCCTGGGTCTCCATTAAAAGCCGTCTGCTGACTCTAGCTGGCCACACCTTACCATTCTGTCCTCTCTCCCTTGTTTTACTGCCTGTAGCCATTCAGATCTCTGAGTCCTGGCCTTAGCCAAGATTGAGTGTATAGAGAAGAGGTGATGGCTTCAGAAAAGGTTAGAGAGAAAGACTTGAGATGGGATGGTTGACCACTTAAATGAGGATGGAATATGATAGGTGGCATACAGGAAGAGAAAACAGTTAGCGAGGAGAGGAATATATCAACTTAGTTTGGACAGCTGTGTGGGTCTGTGGAACATCTGGAAACAGACAGATAACAGGTGACTCTGAGGATCCTTCAGACAGCAAACTAAGAATTTCAGGTAAAGAATTGGGAGACAGGTGGCAGTATGGTTGTAGGCAAGATTGCAGAGGTTAAAAATGAGAGTGAGTAGGTTGGACTGTCTCCAAATTCACAGAGATTCACCTGCCTCTGCCTCTTGGGCACTAGAGTTGAAAGCAAATATGGCTACCTCCGGCTAAATTTTCCCCTTTCAAAGATGGATTGTTACACACTCATGACATTGTTCAATCTGAGGTGGCCAAAAAAGAAATTCTTAGGGATATGAGAACAATGTTTCCTGAAGGAACTGGTAACTTGGATTAATGTGTTTTAGGATTTACTATTGCTGGGAAGAGCAGCATGATCACGGCAACTCTTATAAGGAAACGTTTAATTGTGGTGGCTCACAGTTTGAAGGTTCAGTCCATCGTGGTGAGGAGCAGGAAGGCACAGTGCTGGAGAAATAGCAGGGTGTCCTACATCTTGCAGGCAACAGGAAGTCAACTGTCACACTGAGTGAAGCTTGAGAAAAAGACCTCAAAGCCCACCCCAGTCAGGGACACAATTCCTCCAACAAGGAGATATCCACTCCAACAAAGCCACACCTCCAAGTGGCGCCACTCCCTTTGAGATTATGGGGGCCAATTACATTCAAACTAAGAAAGACCACAATGTGTTTCTTAGACCACAGATCCCTGCTCTCTTCTTTCTTTTAGTTTAAAAGGCAGGGTCTCATTATGCAGCTTTGGCTGGCCTGGAACTCACTGTGTAGACTAGGTTGGCCTTGAACTCAGAGAGATCCACTGGTATCTTCCTGTGGAGGGCTGGGATTAAAGGTGTGTACCACCACACCCAGCCCTTGATCTGGTTTCTAATGTCTCATTTTATTAACAACAGTATTTATTTCTCGTGGTAAAGCCTTTCTTCTATACAGTAACTATTCAGTCATCGTGCACCTAACTGAATGTCTATGGCAGGCCATTCCCTGTTTGTGCTTATCAACTAGACTAAGAACGAATGCGTCCACATAACAAGATGAAGTTGTATTTTTAAAAGCAGAATTGCAGGATGTCTCTGAGAAAGTGAGGCAAGTGGAAAGAGTGCAGGAAAAAATTATGTGGGAAAATGGAAGATTCTGCAATAAAGGAAATGAAATACAATGCAAGTTGTATTAAAAAAATTAACAAAAATGATTTTTTTCCAGCAAACTATGTCATAGTTTTCTTATTTGCTGACTCTGAAGGCCCAGCACTTTTTATTCCATGGTGGTTTTGGCTTTGACTTGACCTTTAAACTAGGCCCAGGAAGAAGTGCTTCTGTGCCTTTGCTGCCCTCTCCTGGTCATAGTTGGTCACTGGCACGCTAGGGAAAGGCCTGATTTCTTGGCCCTAAGGGTGAAGCATGCTCTTTTTGCAAACATCGATGGACCTAAAGTATATGAGACTGGACATCTTAGGGGGAAATTGTTATTCTAAAGTCTGTCACCAACAAGCTATGCAACTTTGTGGTCACTGGGCTCAGAGGGCTTCATGTTTTCTCATCAAGTTAGAGCATTGGTAGCAGGAAGAAAAATGCTCTTTGAAAACTTAATGAGTCATCACCTTGGGGAACCCCTTGACTATGCAAAGGCCAGACCCAGAAAATCAGAAAATGAGGGATTATAAAAAGTCATGGAAGAAAAACAGAAGTAAACCTTGATGACATTGAACAAGGCGTTTGTTTTTTTGGGTAACACACGAGCATGCGTGCACACACACACACACACACACAGTAACAAAGGAAGAGAAAAATGAAACTTCATTAACATTCCAGTTTGGGTGTCAATAGGTATCATCAAGAAAACAGAAAATAAAACTCAGATGAGAAAACAACTTTCACACGTCATCAACAATCTAAAATTTTTATAACTCAGCAATAGAAAAATCATAACTTAGTTTAAGAACAGATGACTTGGATGGACTTCCTCTAAAGACATACAAGTAACAGTAAGCACTTGAAATGTTCACATCTTTTGTCAGCAAAGTATCAATCAAAAGTACAATCAAATGCCATTTCATACCTAATAAGGTCTCCAGTTTGAAAAGACATAGTCTAACTATCCAAAAAAGCTGCAATCCTCACACACAGGTGTGGAATATTCCTTTACATTGTGTGAATATATGTCCCTGTAGTTAGTTTAATAAAAAGCCGGCCGATAGCTAGGCAGGATTTTCAGGGCAG